CATATGCATTGAAAAAAGTCTAGACGCTAGATGAATTTCACCAAAAGGCTGACAGTGACTAAAACTGGGTGGTAAGATACTGGGTAATTTGAAATAATTTTTCTCTTTTTGCTATTCTATATTTTCAGATTTTCCTGAAAAGAATGTTGTGAATTACTTGTAAAACAACAACAACAACAACAGGATTTAAAATAAGAAAACCAAAAAGTTAAATTAGCTATCATTCATTTGAACACCTGCTGTGTCCAGGAACCATGCAGAGCACCTTCCATACATTATCTTTCTCACTGAATCCTCACAATTTATGTGGGAGACACTATTACTATTCACACTTTAAAGATGAGGAAATGAGACGACGCAATTTGCCCTAGTCTGATGTGGGATGACTCTGGAATACAATTATGGAAGCAAACTTGTACACATCCAGCTACTGTCATACACACTCCACTTTAGGGACAGCTGGCTCAGTTGGCAACTATCGAAGACTCAAAACCCAGATATAAGCACGCTTCCCAGTCCCAAATATCCTAATAATTCTCTCCTAGATAAGTAGCCATGTGGTAGAAAAACTTGGCCACAACATATAGGGTCTCTTTCTTACAAGAGAGGTAGATTCCCCATTCCTCAAATCTAAGCTGTTTTTGAGACTTGCACTGACAGAATATGGTAGAAGTGACATCATGGAAGTTCCAGAAGCCTTGCAGCTTCCACCTTTATCCTCTTGGAACCCCAAGACCACCATGGTGTGAAGAAGCCCAAAATGAAATACCACATAGAGAGAGAGGCCCAGACATTCCCCATAGCCCAAATGAGCCCATCCCCCAGGTGACCTTCCAAATGAATGCAGCCATGTGAGTGAGTCCAGGCAAAATGAGCAGAAAAACTACCCAGCAAATCCATAAAATAGTGAAAAGTAATATACTGTTGTTGGTTTTAGCCACTAAGTTGTAGGGTGATTTGTTCTGCAACAATAGCTAACTGATACAACTTGAATTTACAAAGCTGAGAGCCTATCTCAAGTCATTGAGGTGCCTATGCTAGGTCAATGCGGCAAAAAAAAAATACTAAATAACACAGTGAGGTAGAAGCCCTTTCAGTGAGGCTCTCTTGCACTTCTTTTCCTAACACGTAGATCAAGCCCACACTCCATGCCCAGAGAGTGATTACAGATCTCACACTCCCTTCTAAACAGACCAAAGGGTTCTTCTTTTGAAAACAGAACTACATACAACTAAACAGATAATGGTAAGAACGTGTGGAAGAGTATGCAAAAAAGAATGTCAAGAGAGCTCTTTCTACGTGAAAGCAAGGCCTTGTTTACATAGGAAAATGTGTGCTGAAATCAATTGATATTTTTTCCTTTGCTTTTACAGCACATTAGGTTTTTCTTCCCAGATTTACTGAATCATGAAACATATTAACTGTGGCAGGCTGAGTTTCAGTTAAAGACAGAAGGCAAGGGTCCTTTACCTACAACTAAATGCTTCTTCAATAATAACAGTCTCATGAGCAAAAGGAACTTGATCCAAAGAGAATATGATGATTGTGAATATAGCTGTCGTTTTTATTCAGACACAAATGGCTCTAGACCAGAAAATCAAATTAGCACAAAACATGATATGGAACCCACTGCTAATACCAGGAAATGTTTCTTGCACGTGGGTAATTCCCTATCAAAATCAGCAACCATGATCATAGGAAAAAAATACCCTAGCTTCTTGACTTATCGTCTCTCTTGACAGGATGCCTTAGCATATTTTAGTTTTACAAAATACCAGAATGTTATCACAGATTAATCAGATTCTTAAAATAAAATTACAGTCTATATTTTAAAAGCAATAGCACCACAAAATACTGCAGTGGTGTTTGGGGTTTGATGATGACAATCCTTTTCAGAAGAAAGTGTCTCACGGTGGGGGTGAGGAGGGAGAGTACAGATGGTATCTGGTGGCTCCTTCACAGTGGGTCACTTTGCATTCCTTAGTCTCTTTTAAATGCTATCTACAGAGCACCTTCTCAGTCTTTCCTTCCTCTCCATTTCTCATATTTCTTGACCCATTCCCTTTGTTGATTTCAATCACTTGGCCCTTTCTAATTCCTCCTTTCCTTGAACCTTAGTCCTCTCTTTACTGCCTTACCTGATACACAAAGGGCGTAACTGCTCCTCACATGACAGCCCTGCACTCTCTGGTATTAGCACAAAGAAAGAATTCTCTCTCAGACAGGGTCTGGTTACCGTGCAACTTCCCATGTCCTTTTCTCAAAGATCCAAGTCAATCCCAGTCTCTCTCTCTCTCTCTCTCAGCATCCAATCTCTGATAAAACAGTGAGTATATTTGGATAATATTCAGATGGAGAGAAAGTAGATTTAATCATGAGCAACTTTTAGATTATACTTTCAAACATTTCCCTCAACTGGTAACAGACACAGCTTCTAACATATAGCAGTGGAAATTACGTTCAAATCAATGCTTACTGAGTGTCTGCCACCTGCCACACCCCATGCTGGGGATAAAGATCTACATAAGGCTTAGGCTCTGCTGTCAGGGAGAAAGCCTTGCACAAATTATAAAGAAAAGCAAAGAATAACAATCAACCGTTTGATGGAAAACCTGGCAAACGTCACCTAGTAACACCAGTTGGAGAGAATTCAGAATTCTGAGCTTCATTTCTTCATTCTTAATATGCGTATAATGATATTAATAATAATACTTGCTTCACAGGATGATTATTATAGGGAGTAAAATTAGAATATGACTGAATGTATCTTGCAACTGTGCAACTGAATTTCAATTCCAGTCAAGGGAATTCCGTTCCCTTCAGCATTTACTTCGGGCAGCACCTAGTTTGGGCCAGGCCCTGTGCTACAAAAATTGGAAATAAAAATAATCCCTGAAACCAAAGCACCCAAGGACTGAGGGAGTAAGCAGAGAGACACATTAAGAAAATATAATACAGTGTGATTATGTGCTATAATAGAGATACAGAAAATGTACCAGATCTTAGATGAGGGACGAAAGTATCCAGCCAGGGGTATGGAGAGTAGGGAAAGAAGGAAAAGGGCATCAAGTGATGCTATACAAACAAAGTAGATAATAATAAGAGTAACTATCTTTCATTAAGGACCTTCTATGTACTAGTTAGTATATTAAACACTTTACAGAAAATATTCACAATAAATAAAGACAAGATAGAGGGTTCCCCTTCTTGAAAACGTGGTACCCTATTAACTTACAGAGTTTGGCTTTGGTGGCAACCAGGTATATTGGCCTGGAGAGACTAACAGTCAGTTGCCCAGATGGAAGGGAGAAAGCACTGAAGAAGAAGTGAAAAGTGATGGGTTTTCATCCTGCTCTGTCACTATGTGGCTCTAGGGATGTCCCTTAGCTCACTAGTCCTCAGTTTCCTCAGCTGCAAAATGGAGATTTAATACAGCTGACCTTGTGGGGTTGCTGGGATAATGGATGTGTAAAAGGCTTTCAAGTCTGTTGAGCACTCTTCAGGGTAAAGCCCGGGCTGGAAACTCACTTGCCTATAGGGCCAAGTCATCCTCCACTCAGGTGGAGGATGGTGACTACATGCTGACCATAATCATGTAAACCCCAGACTGGTTGGAACCAGAAGGTTGGTGATTAAGGTTCCTGAAACATCATCCCATTAACTCACCACCAACCAATCAGAAGAAGGTCATACACCCCACAGCCTTTACCCTGAATGTTGCCTTAAAAACCCTTCCCTGAAAGCCATCAGGGAGCTCGGATCTTTTGAGAATGGGCCACCCATACTCTTTGCTGGGCCCTGCAATAAAAACTGTACTTTCCTCCACCACTCGGTGAAGTAAATTGGCTTTACTGTATGGTGGGTAAGCACACCCAAGTTTGATCTGGTAACAGTAGAAAAATCCAAAGTTTAAACCTTGGTAAGTGAAAGAATACATAAACACTAACAGAAAAAAACTAAAAGGAAAGACTGATGTATGGGCAAAAATATGATATGTTCACTTTTCCATATGCTGGTTTTGGAGTCATGGTACACAAAGGTCTGGAAGAAATATCTAACAGTTTTTGAAATTATGAGACTTGTTTGAGAGTTATCAAAATTATAGATCAATTTAGCAATAATCAGCATAAAGGTGGAAACTAAGCCACAGGATGCCCTCTTCCCCACTCCCCCATTTTCCTCAGCCAGGCTAATCCCTTCTCACTGACAGGGGCTTCATTTTGAGGGGCCTGCTTCCTATGCCAGCTTTAGGCCCTCCTAATAAGCTCCCAAAGGAGCACTGAATTACATCTATCCCTCAGCACAGCTCTGGGTTCCAGGGTGGTAACCAAGCACCATCAGCAGGTAGTTTAAGGAAATAAGCCCTGGAGGAAGGTCCTTAGATGTGTAAGGAGAATTAACTTTGGGATTTTACCACATTTATGGGACACAAGTCAAGTGTGGACAGAAATGTCATGGCCTCCTTGTCACATGCCAATGGTGCCCTCTACTACAGAGACTGATTATTACAAAATCCCGAAGTCCAAGGCACCTAGACACCAGTAGGTCTTAAATAAACTTCAGAAGCTAAGATCCATGCCTGCAATCTTCTGGCTACTTGTACTCATGAAAATATGCTTGAGCATTGTCAACCAATTCAGTAAGTACTTACAAAGTGCCTACCATGCATTTGGCCCTGAATGACCCATGGTCTTTTCTTTCACACTGAACCTTTGAAATCATACAGTCTCATCTTTAAATTCCAACTGTAACCTCTATTGGCTCTATGAATCTGATTAAGTTATTTAACTGTTCATGGCCTTGGTTTTCTCATCTACAAAAATGGAATTAAAATGCTGCATTCATATATTTATGTGTTCATGGGTACCTTCATCCATTCAAAGCTCCTACCACGTAGCTTTGACTACACTGAGTGCAGGGTACTCTCACAGTGTTGAGGAAAAACGTTTTCTCGACCCTCTTAGGGTGCCTAGCTGGGTCTGAAAGTTAAACTGACATAGATTAACAGGAGAAAAGCATACAAATTAATGAAATATAAGTTTTATGTTACATGGGAGGCTTCATAAGGAAATGAGGACCCAAAGAAACAGTTAGACCTGAGAGGTTAATGCTAGAGGTTTTTTTTTTGTTTTTTGGTTTTTTTTGCAGTACGTGGGCCTCTCACTGTTGTGGCCTCTCCCGTTGCGGAGCACAGGCTCCGGACGCGCAGGCTCAGCGGCCATGGCTCACGGGCTCAGCCGCTCCGCGGCATGTGGCATCTTCCCGGACCGGGGCATGAACCCGTGTCCCCTGCATCGACAGGCGGACTCTCAACCACTGCGCCACCAGGGAAGCCTGAATGCTAGATTTGATGAAGAGTGGATAGTCAGGGAGGAACGGGAGGGTAAGGAGTAGGAGGGAAACTTATCAAGATCTGCTTGTTAGGATTCTTCTCAGGGTCCCTTTGTCTTCAGAGATGAGGATATACCTTTCCTCCAGGTACAGATATCCCCTGTTTTTCAAAAGCTCACTTTATGCCACTTCACTTTTACAAAAAACCTACATTTTCCTGCTTCTGCTAACTGAAAGAAATCTGAAGAGGATTTTCATTTTTACAAAAAAAAAAAAAAAGGAAAATGAAAAAGACAAAAAAAATGAAAATAGCATTTAGCGTTTGTTTTGCAGTGAGCACACATCCAGAGCAGCGTGGCTCCACAAAGCTCCTTCCCCAGGAACTACACTCAGCATCTCAGCACTAGGCACCTCACCTTTGAACGGTGTCTGTGAGCATCTGTGCTTTATCTTCATTTACTTTGTGCATCCATTAGCAAGATGTGTCCTGAGGTAATTGCTTCTTCACCTCGTGCCACTTTGTCTTACGAAAGGTTTCACAGGAATGCTCTACTTTCAGATAGCAGGGGAAACCTGTATAGGGAGGGCACTTCTCACATGAAGGTTTTATGACTTGTTTCAGGGGAGAAGGGTAGGGAGAAGGTCAGAGTGACCCTCCTGATTCTGCTGTGTTCTCAAATTCCTTCAGCTTAAAATACACAATATGCCAAGGTGCCATATTTTGAGGTGGCGTGTCCTGAAGCATCACAGGCATGGTCCCTGGAGCACTGGAGCTCAAATCTTACTGGGTTGTTACGAAAATCAAATTAGATCACATGTGCAAGTTACAAGACACAGTGGTTCATCTATAAAAGTGACATTCAATAAATGCTAGTTTCCTTCTGAAGGGTACCAGCATACGCCATATGAAATTATGCCTCTTTTGCATATGGATTATTTTAAGCTAAAGGGAATTGAAACAAGCAGAGGAAAGAAAAGCTCTTCACCTCCCCCTAACTGCTTAAAACTAGAGTATAAATTCTCCCTTTTGTAAAGGAAACTTATATTTATGAAAGAACTTTCCATTTGTAAAGGTGTCTCTGTACCAGGAAGAAGGACGACTTTTATCACCTAAGAAACTCTTACCTACATAATAAGACAATTATCATATATTTCCTCCTCTCACTTTGTCATAAGTTTTCTCTCCTACCCAGAAGCCCAAAACCCCTTTTCCTTTGTCTAGCCTAAGATGGTATATAAACCTCAATCATCTGGCCACTTCCTTGAGTCTTGTTTCTTTGTGAAACTCCCATGTGTACCTATATAATTAAAACTGGTTTTCTTCTCTTGTTAATCTATATATTATCAATTTGATTCTTAGGCAGAGCCACAAACCTAGGATGATAGAGGAAAAAGGCTTTTCCTCCCCTGCACGTCCTTCCTATAGGTCATGGAACACAAACTCAGGTGCCTCTGGTGGCCAACATAAATGAGTGCAGCAGCAGGGACTGTGGTGACCTGGAGAGCTCATGTCCACACTAAAGGGCAGTGACCCACTCAGCATCAGCCAGTCATTTCCGGGAGGGACTGCAGGGCCAGCGTTACAGATCTTCCAGTTTTAAAGAGAAGCAGGAAAATTGGGTGTGGAATATGCCTATTTTTAAATGTTGTCAACTAATTCTAAACCCTAGGTAGACCAAATAAAATACATCAGACCCAGGTGCTGCCTGTTTGCAACTACTACAAGAGGGCTGGGCACGCAGATAACTCCCAGTTTTAAGTACCGTCTGAGGCATTATTATGCAGCAAGACCAAGGGACTCTCCAGTAAAATTCTTATTTCACTCCAGCGTGGACTCAATCAATCAGCCTAACTCTCTTCACACTCCAGTGAAACAGGAACCTGGTGCGACAGGATCATTATCACCAGAGGAAAGGACAATCTCACCACGGGTCATCAGCTTGCATTATATAAATGAATCTAAGGGCTCAATATGAGGAAACAATGAAAATGCACTCACAGGGCAGTGAGGCGCAAGCAGTGCAGGAACCCAATTGTGCTGATCAGACTTACAGAGCCAATCACAAATACAGCAGGAGCATTCAGTCAGCACTTTCAGGTGAGATTTTCCCAGTGTGATACTCACTGCTTTCACGCTTCCTTCATCTCTGACTCATTCTTTCCGGTTCAATCTATTTTGTTTATGGATTTAATATCTGGCACTATTCCTCTAAAGAGTTTACCATTTCCCTCTGTCTTCTCTTCCTCCTGTTCCAGAGCAGGGCAGATGGAAAACCAAATAATAAACAATGACAGATGTAAAAAGATACAGATATTTATAATGCTTCAGTTTGGGGCCCCAAATGAAGCTGGTAACAGACATAAGATTGGAGCTGCCTCATCCCTTGCAGGAGAGTCTAAGCATTGTTGCCTCTGACAAATGCCATGCTTTATAAAGCCCAGTAATTATAATTTGGTGCTAAAGACCCACACTTTCCATCGGAATGTGTTTCTTTTATTTTGCCACTTAAGGGCAACTGAGCATTCCATGAATCAGGGATGACCTGATAGACTTGAGTCACCTAGAAGTCCACCGTATGCTCTGGGAAGACCAACATCCAATAGTCTTCTCACCTGTTGGGAAGGTTCGGGGACAATGAAATTGGTACCCAGCTGCACTCCTTGATGTTCATGGGACACAAGAGCCCTATGGAAGAGAGGCTGAACTGCCCACAAGTGGAATATGCTACAACCTGTATGATGGACAGGGGAGTTCCTTTAAAAACCCAACTGTTAGAAGAGACAATAGGACCACTAAGAGAAAATCACCATAAAGGAGGGAGTCTGGCAGGGTGGCTGTCTTAGTCATCTCAGGCTGCTGTAACAAAATACCACAGCTAAAATAAATATTTGGATTACGTTTCACGAGACTGAAAATGACTTTTGTGGGAATCTGAGCTTGGCAGTACCCTATGTGTATGGTTACAAATAGCCCTAAATTGCCAAATATAGTGGGAACTTGTTAGCACTTATATTACTTTACCTTACTGACACGTGATACTGTTGACAATTCCTTCTCTGAAATTCTCCCCTCCCTCACTGCCTTTTCCCTCTGAACCTCTCTGGCCACTTTTGGGATGCTACAGACAAGCCTGGTGCAGGTGGAGCGGCAGTAAGAAGAGAGAACACGTGAGGAAGTACCTGTGGAACAGTGAGCAATTGCCTTAAGAAGTAACACCCAGACCCTTGAGGGCTACGGACCCCTTTCCCAGCCTGAAGAGCAGTGAATGGCAGATCAGACTTGAGAGGGACTGCACTGACCCCTGAACTCTGGTCACACAGCTCCACTAGGAGCAGAAGAAACCCCAGCATCTATTCATTCAATGTTTGCTCGCACATTAGAGAGTAAGCAGAAATGAAAGCAACCTTGAACTTGTCCAACTGTTCATTCTCGCCAGGCTTTGAACTTGGATTAGCCTATTACAGGCTGGCCTCGCTCCCCACTCTTCAGTCTTCTCCGGGACCTCCTCTTTCTCACCCTGCCCTGAACTGTAAGGGTTCCACAAGGGTCCCCGCTCAGCCCTTTTCTCACTGTTCACTCTCCAGGTAACCATAATAACCAACCAGTTTTAACCATCACTCATTCACTGATGATCCCTAATTCTGTATCTACTGACCAGAACTAAGCTTCAGACTAGTGTACCACAGCTTAGTATGTGTCCCACAAACTCCTCAGACTCCACATGTCCAAAACTGAATTGATTTTTTCCTTCCACAATCCTGTCCTCCTCTTAATTCTCTTTCTTGATCAACGGGACCTCCATTAACTCAGCTGAACAAGTCAGAAAACCAAAACCCTGTCATCAGAATTGGCTCTGAGTTTCTTTAAATGCATATTAGAAGGTACTCTAAGGCAGCGGTCCCCAACCTCTTTGGCACCAGGGACCAGTGCTGTGGAAGACAATTTTTCCATGGACGGGGTAGGGGGGAGGTGGTTCAGGCAGTAATGTGAGTGATGGGGAGCGATGGGGAGCGACGGGGAGCGGCAGATGAAGCTTTACTCACTTGCCTGCCGCTCACCTCCTGCTCTGCAGCCCAGTTCCTAACAAGCTGCAAACCGGTACCAGTCTGCAGCCCCGGGGTTGGGGACCCCTTCTCTAAGGATATAGATGAATCATGTTAGCTCTTTTAAAAGATGACTGTTGGGACTCCCCTGGTGGTCCAGTGGCTGAGACTGCACGCTCCCAATGCAGGGGACCTGGGTTCGATCTCTGGTCAGGGAACTAGATCCCACATGCCACAACTAAAGATCCTGCATGCTGCAACTAAAGATCCTGCATGCCACAACTAAAGATCCCGCATGCTGCAATGAAGATCCCACATGCCACGACTAAGACCTGGTGCAGCCAAATAAATAAATATTTTTTAAAAAAAAAGATCAATGTTTATTGACTTGGAGGTGTGGTGTGTGTTTATAGTTCTCAGAAAACTACTGAATATGTCTTCAATAAGCTTTTCCTTCTCTATCCACACTGCCTTATCCTTGGTTCTTACTTACATTGTCTTTTGCCTGAATCACTGCAATAAGCTCTCATGCAATCTCCTTCATTCATATTCTAATAACCACAACTGCCAAAGGGATTTTTTAAAATTTTAACTATATTTAAATACCTTTCTTCTTATTACAGAATTAATACATGTTTATTGTGGACATCAGAAAAGAGTTTGTAATAGCACAAAAAGATAATCACCATTAACACTGTATTATATATACTTCCAGCCATTTTCTATAAATAAACATACATCTTCAGATAAAAAGGATTATATTATACATACTTTATATGCCCTACTTTTTTTTTTTTTTTTTTTTTTTTGCGGTACGCGGGCCTCTCCCATTGTTGTGGCCTCTCCCATTGCAGAGCACAGGCTCCGGACGTGCAGGCTCAGCGGCCATGGCTCACAGGCCTAGCCGCTCCGTGGTATGTGGGATCTTCCCAGACCGGGGCACGAACCCATGTCCCCTGCATAGGCAGGCAGACTCTCAACCACTGCGCCAACCAGGGAAGCCCTGCCCTACTTTTTAAAATTAGAGTTGTGAACAATTTCTTAGTATAAAATTACCTAGTAAAAAAATATTTTATTATTATTTTTTAATTTTTATTTTATTTTACTTTTGGCTGCATCGGGTCTTAGTCATGGCATGCGGGATCTTCGTTGAGGCATGCAGGATCTTTCGTTGTGGTGCACAGGCTTCTCTCTAGTTGTGGCGTGTGGATTTTCTCTTCTCTAGTTGTGGCACACAGGCTCCAGGGCACGTGGGCTCTGTAGTTGTGGCGTATGGGTTCCAGAGCATGTGGGCTCTGCAGTTTGCGGCACGCAGCCTCTCTAGTTGAAGCGTGCGAGCTCAGTAGTTGTGGCGCATGGGCTTAGTTGCACTGCGGCATGTGGGATCTTAGTTCCCTGACCAGGGATCGAACCAGAGCCCCCTGCATTCTAAGGCAGATTCTTTACCACTGGACCACTAGGGAAGTCCCTAAAAATATTTTAAAATATCCTATAATAAACATCTTTGTACATGCATCTTTGTTCATATCATAATTAACTCTTTTGGGGTAGAATTGCCAGGTCAACGGGGATGCATATTTTTAAGACTTTGAATCTTTGCCAAATACTCCATGGAAAGGTTTTACTCATTTATTATGTTTCCACCAGTAGAGTGATCATTTTAATGCAGAAATCAAATTGTTACTCAAAGACTTGGAAAAAACTTACAGCTTCAAAAACACAGGCCAGAGAAGGCTCGGAAATAAGGCTGTTGTAGTCATTTGGGCCAGCAAGTTTCCACATATAGTTGTGGCCCACTACAGTCTTCCTGACGAAACATGAAGAGTTCAAAATATGAAAGTTCTTTCTTCAACTCTTAGAACAAATGCCATGCAAGGCCAAGGACTTTCATTTTTATATATGACTAAGTACTTAATAGCTTTCTTCATTAATTATTAAGAGTGATTACAATTTTATAGTCTCAAAAAGAAAAAAAGTGCAGTACTGCCAATTATCAAAAACTTTGGCTGCCACAGAAAGTTTGGTAATGATGCAAATTTCCTGCCACACATGTGACAGCACAGATTGCTGGAATTTCCACAGTTTTCAGGAATGATTTTGAAGGGACTGGGGAGACTTCATAGTGTCTTAAGTTTCAAATACAGCCGTTCTTGTATGTGTTATTTCACGGGTCAAATATAGTTGTTTTTCTGGTTTTATGATATTGTTCATGCATAAACGTTATGATATTGCCACTTGGGGTTGCTATTTTGTTCCTCCCTAATCCTTTGTTATCATCAAATTCTCTTCTCACAAGAAGTGGAATGGATGGGTTAGGTGTATTACGAGGTCTTTTGTGCCAATTAACATATGTGCAAATCATTGGTCTGAATGCCTCAAAATCTCACTGCCCTGAGTCTACGTTGATTTACTAAGTTGGTTAACCTAGTAAAGAGACCTGGTAAATTATTGCCTATAAGGTGATCAGATGTTTGAAAGAAGGAAAGAAAACAGAGTGGCTGAAAGCAATTTTGGGAAAGAGTGACAGGAGGCTCACAGACTCACCCTTTCTCCTCCCAACTCTTGGTTTTTAAAACAGTGGTCTTATGTGACAGAATATATGCAGGAATATATATTATATGAATATATATATAAAACAGGACTCAAACATTAGCAGGGGTAAGAGATCTGAGCCACCTATTAGCCTAATAGAAACATAAACAACACTGTGTTGAGAACTGCACCAATACTGTTTTGTACTCAGCTCAAGCTACCCAGCTGCTGGCCTACAGATTCATGAAACTCCTGCTTTGAATCTGAAAGACTAGCAGGAAAGAGGAGAGAGCTCTTCCTACATAAGTGATTATTGGAGGAAATGGAGATATCTGTATAACTGGTTCTGAAGATAGGTTCAAAGTTTCCCCTTGATTTTAAAATATATAGGATTTACCTTGACAAACAGCTCATGAGACGATATGAGAATCTGGTTTTCACCAGTCCAGCTCGCATTTCAACAGGAATTCCATAATGTTACGAGCCCGAGGAAGAACTGCTCCACTGCATGGCAGTACATTTCCATTCCCTTATGGAGAAAAAGGGGACGAGAAAATTAGCTAAATCAGTTCTGCTTGATTCTGCTCACATCTCTACTGCCAAGAGTAGCAGTTATTCACCAACAGGCACTAGAAATACCCACACACCCAGAGACATGTACAGTCAAGCATTTGTTAGACTATAACTTAATAAGCGTGTTGTTTTCCATTATCCAGGCCTCTAGATAAAATATTCAGTACCATCAAAATTTGGCTTGCCTTAACAGCAGAATTTTATGCACAGTCCTAGGTCAGCTATAAATCACAAATAGTTACTTTTCATCCAAGACAAAGTTCCAAAAAGTTTTCTCTGCCCATCCTCTGAGGTAGGATGAAATAACACCAATGAGGGTCCCTGACAGGCCACAAGCAAGGGTAGGAGAGAAGATGCAATGACAGAAAAAGAAAAGCAGGGATAAGTGGAAAGAAAAGAGAGGAAAGACTAAAAGTAATAGAACATTTATAAGACAAATGTGAATGATCTCATGTGTTACAGTACTGAATTGCCATAGGTTATATTTATTCAGCATCATCTACCCTATGCCAGACACTGTTCTAAGTGCTTTTATATGCATTATTTAATTCATTCAACACACATTCGTGGCACACCTTCTGTGTGCCAGGCACTGTTCTAAGAATGTTCTGTAGAGAACAAAATAGGTGAAAATCTCCTCCTTCTTGGAACTTACATTTCAGTAGGGAAGATCTTATTTAATCATCCAATAAGGAAATGAGATAGGAAAAGTATGTGAGAAGGGACAGAAAAAGAGAATTTAGGAACAGGGAGATAAAGGAGATGAAGGTCAGAGTGAAGTGTCCTTTTCAAGGCTTTCAGATGCTAGAAAGAAGATAAATCTCTGTTCACGCCTCAGCTCCTCCAACATAAAGGTTTTGGAAGGTCTCCAACATAAAGGCTTCGGAAGGTCCCACCATAACCAATTTAGTAAAAAGCCTGAATTGGAAATGTCTGAAGAAATATACTTCTATATTATATCATATGTATATAGCAATTTGAAATGCTAACAAAGTCTTTCTGAGTAGATATCCTGTTTTAATAAAAATACAAGACCTATTTGTAACAAGCAACATTCACCTGCACATATAACCCTTGTTTCTCTCAGTCTTTTTCAGTGAAAGAGGGAAAAAAAACCCAGTGACCTAAGAAAAGATAAACCAGATATTTGGCTGAATCCCTCACCAGCACCAATTATAATACTAATAGATGCCATTTATTGAGGACTTTCTATTTGCTGTATAACAAAGTATCCCAAAATTTAGTCATTTCACAGCAATGAATTATTATTTCTTATAATTATATAGGTTGGCAGGTCAGTTCAGGTCTCAACAGCTCACTCACATGGCTGCATTCAGGTGGGACTCCGGCTCCCTGATGCCTCTTTCTCCATGTGGTCTCTTACCACACAAGAATCTAGGCTGAGCTTCCCTACAAAGTGGCACAAGTGGTCCAAGAGAGCAAAAGTGGAAACTGCCAGGCCTCTTAAGACCTGGGCTTGGAATTGGCCAACAACACATCTGCCACGTCCTACTGGCCAGAGCAAGTCATAAGCCCAGGCACACTTCTAGGGGAAGGGAAATAGATCCCACCTCTTTTGGGGAGGAATATTGATCCTTACAATGATGAGAATTGTTGGCAACCATTTTGCAGGCAAGCCATCTCACTTGCCACATGCCAAAAACTATACTATCTTAATGAATCTTCAACAGCAACTTATGAAATAATCACCATTTTATCCCTATTTTACAATAAGGAAAATTAGTTCCTGAAAGGTTAAATATCCTCCTGCAAGTAGGTGGCAGACCTAAGACCAGATCTTAATCACCTTCAGAGTTCCAATTCACAACTATCCCTCAATACAACAGTCAGTAGAGTTAGAGGCATTGAACCCCATGTTCCCTCCCCCTTAGGGAAGCAGGAAAGCATGGCAATGAAGAGCTTGAACTCGGATCAAATTGCCTTGGTTCAAATCTTGGCTCTAAGTCTCATTAGCTCTGTGACTTTGGGCTAGTTACTTAGACTCAAGTTCACAATCTTCAGAACAGGGCTGGTAACAACATCTACTCCACAGGACTATTATGAGATAATGCATGTAAAGCACTGCCTGGATAGAGTATGTGCTCCATAAATGTTAATTACTTTTGTTATCCCCTGCGTGTCCTGACTAGTTCACCCTGAATCAAGCAGTACTACAGTGCCAAGACCATGGTCTCCGAGGCTGCTGCTGACCAGTGATCCTGAGTCTATGCAACTTAATCATCTTCCCTGTTGGCCTTGCTTCTAATTCTGCTTTGCCTCTAGACCCATGCTGCTGCTGCAGTAACCACTGCAGAGGGTCCTGCTTCACTGTGGTCCCTCTCTGCTCACTAGTTGCACTTCCTGCTTCCTTCTGGAGCTTCCACTTCATGCTAGAGATCTGGTGGCCGTCCGTGTTTATCTAACAACATTCTCCCTTTGTCAGTGCTTTGTTAATTCTTCTGATTACACAAAGGAAGAACGGCTCTCAGGGTCAACCCCATTAATACCTTGCTTCGTCTTTGACTATTTAAAAAAGGCTCACAAACATCCCTTTCTAACAAGGGAAGAGGGAACAGAAGTTTCCCCAGTTCCAAACATTTGCTGGATGTTTCCTGTACCAACTCAGTTCCTTTTCTGCTGTCTGTGCTTTCAAAGAACTGCCGTGTTTCAGAATGAGTGACCACTAGGTGGCAGGGGTGTTTTGCTCCCCAGCTCATTACCTTCTTCCTCCTTGCAATCTCAATTACAGCCAAAATACAGTTCCTTTTAAGATGAATGAGTTGCTTTTAAATAAACCTACTTATCCATAGGAAGTTTAAGGTGAACGATAAATTTCAAGGACATTCTCTTGAAAATTCACTGTGATGTCACTAATTCTATTGGAGAGTTCTCGCAGGAGTTATATTACTTAAAGCAGTTTTATAGCCTTTGGCTTGACAGGGCTTGGGAAAAGTAAACAAATCTCAGCTTGTTCAGGGCATGGCCAAAGCTGATTGCTTTCCTCTCTAGTTGTTATCATCACCTGACAGGCCAAAGGTCCGTTGGGTTAAGAGTTCATGGACTCCTAGTCTACCACATCATTTCATTAATAGGATTGTAGACACATCACTTGTTTCCCAATGAGGTCCCAAAAGGTTTTCTTGGGGACGATGGAATTTTAGTAGTTTCTTGAGTGAGAAGCAGGTGTAGGGGTATCCTTTCTTTCAATTACATCCCCACAGGAATCCAACCTGGCAAGCGGAATCCTAACAAAATAGGTTGGGAGCTATAAAGAAGAAAAGTAGAGAGGGGCTTCCCTGGTGGCGCAGTGGTTAAGAATCCGCCTGCCAATGCAGGGAACATGGGTTCATAGCCCTGGTCCAGGAAGATCCCACATGACGTGGAGCAATGAAGCCCATGCGCCACAACTACTGAGCCTGCACTCTAGAGCCCACGAGCCACAAACTACTGAGCCCACAAGGCACAACTACTGAAGCCTGCACGCCTAGAGCCCATGCTTTGCAACAAGAGAAGCCCACGCACTGCAACGAAGAGTAGCCCCTGCTCGCCGCAACTAGAGAAAAGCCTGCGCACAGCAACAAAGACCCAACGCAGCCAAAAATATAAATAAATAAATAAAATAAGTTTTTTTTTTAAAAAGGAAGAAAAGTAGAGAAAGGTACAAAGTGGGCAGCAGAAAGGCCAGAAGTGCTGATAAAACCCTCACCTAACAGTATGGGGAATCAAAAGATACTGTCTACAGCTGATAAAACAAAAAAATGTTTCATATATCGCTTAAATTTACCCCAGTAAATTTAACATAGAGGAACAAACTATATTGGGCTGTAACTTTAATGGGAGGGGAAGGGAGGGGGAAATAGGCTAAATCTCAAGTACCACAACAGACTTCACAGGTAACGCCAAAACTGAAAAAGCAAAACATAGCACTTCAAGCATGCTATTTAGCGACATGGAGGAAATCACCATGTAAACTAAAGGCAGACGTGGTTAACAGTCCTTGCTTCCGTACAAGAGCAGAGGAAGGGACAGGGCTGGGGAGTGGCTGTACTCTTTAACTTTCTAACCACGATATTGTTTTACCCTTATGAATAGGCAAGGATAGACAGCTATTAGGGTAAAATAGATATGTGTTCATGGGAGCAACTACCACTCAGTTCCTAATTTGTATCACTGTATCTGATAGGGATTATTAAATTTAATCATTTGCTTATTTACTTAGGGGTCACTTTAGTTTACTATAATACAACTACCAGTTAGGAATTAGAAGCTTCAATTTCTACAGGTATGTGTTACTTATTCAAAACTGGCATTTTCAAGCAAGGATGCACTTTAGTCAATATTTTCACAGCAGATCATCAGGGTTTGTCTGATGTAAGCTAGAATACTATTTTGGTTCTGGTTTATGACTCTTTGCAATAAACCAGAACCAGAACTCTAAAGAGCAAATATGTCCATTTTTACTTCCTCTGTAGCATTTTGGCCTGAGCTCTTGAGCATTCATCCCCCAGCAGAATATGGGCACTTTGAACCAGCAAAATCTGCTAGGTCTGACCCTTAAACTTCCTGTTCTTTACCTTGTTTTCAAACCCACATCCAATTCATCAGCAGTGACAGGTCATCCCTCAAAATACACTAGAATCTGACAATTCTCACCACACCCACCCCTAATATCCTAGTTTGAGTCATCATTCTCTCTCACTTGGACCACTGAAATGGCCTGGGGACTGCTTCCATTCCTGCACTCTACTGTTCTCCGTGCAGCAGCCAGAGTGATTCTTTTAAAATCTAAGTCACGGTGACAATTTGTAAAACATTGGCCTATATGATGTACCCATCCCATCTTATCTTCTCCCTCTCTCCCCCTCATTCTCTCCTCCCAGTCTACACTGGCCTCCTGGCTGGCTATTCCTAAACCCTGTTGAACATGTTCCTGCCCTCAGCCTGGAATGCTCTTCGCCCAGATACCCAAATGGCTTGCTTTTCATTTCCTTCAGGTTCTGCTTTGTCACCTTATCAAAGAGGCCTTCCTGACCACCTGATATAAAATAGGTTTTCCCCTCCATCTCTCTAGCACTCTTCATTAGTTTTTCTCCGTAATACTTATCATCACAGGGATGATATGTGTATTTTTCTGTATTGTCTGTCATTTCCATTAGCATATAAGCTCTAGAAAAAATTTTCAGTGCTGTATCTTTAGTGCCTGAGAGTGTCCAACATGTAATACATGTTCAAGAAGTTCTGTTGCAGACTTCCCTGATGGAGCAGTGGTTAAGAATCCACTTGCCAATGCAGGGGACACGGGTTCAAGCGCTGGTTTGGGAAGATCCCACATGCCGTGGAGAAACTAAGCCCGTGCGCCACAACTACTGAAGCCTGCGCGCCTAGAGCCCGCACTCCGCAACAAGAGAAGCCACTGCAATGAGAAGCCCACGCACCGCAATGAAGAGCAGTCCCCTGCTCGCCGCAACTAGAGAAAGCCTGCATGCATCAACGAAGACCCAACGCAGCCATAACTAACTAACTAAATTTATAAAAAAAAAATTCTGTTGCTTCAACGACAGACCTAACATTACAGGTAGTTACTGTCTTACGGTAATGTTTCCCCACGTGTGTGACCTGTTTATGAGAGACAATTTAAATAGTATAAAGGTATGCATTAAATAACACTGAATCAAGTGGAAAGAATCTTTTCAATATTTTAATCCCTCTCATTATGTCAAGAAGGTCTCATTTAATGCAATTTTGTCTCTAATACTTGATAATTTATCCTTTTAAAAAGCAAATGGGCCTCACATTTAGAACCTTTTATAGGGAACACTATCTGGCCAGCATTTAATAACTTTGTTTCCACTGTATTTTTTTTTAATGGCACGATTTATTTTAATTATGTAACACGTTAATCTCATTTAAAGCTTGCAAGAACTCTTATGAGAGAAGTAGCATTTTGCATGTGAGGAAACTGCAGAAGAGTTTCCCATGACACCAAAGTTTCCTTTAAGACAAACTTCACCAATTTAAATATTTTAAACTGTACAATTCAGTGTTTCTTAGTAATAGTCACAATGTTGTGCAACCATCACTACTTCCAGAACATTCTCAACACCCCAAAAAGAAACCCCATACCCTTTAGCTATCACTCCCCAATCTCCTCATTCCCCCCAGCCCTAAACAACCACTAATCTTTCTGTCTGTATATATTCGCCTATTCTAGACATTTCATACAAATGGAATATGTGGTCTTTGGGGACTGTTGTTGTTTTTTTTCACTTTGCATGTTTTCAACGTTCATCCATGTTGTAGCATGTTTCAGTACTTCATTCCTTTTCTTAATGACTGAATAATACTGCATTGTGTGGATACACCACTTTTGTTTACCTATTCATCAGCTGAGGGATATTCTGGTTGTTTCCACTTTTTGGCTCTTATAAATAATGCTGCTAAGCACATTCATGTAAAAGTTTTTGTTTGAACATCTGTTTTCAGTTCTCTTGGGTATATAGCTACCAGGAGAAATGCTGGATCATAAGGTAATTCTGTTTAACTTTATGAGGAAAGGACAAACTGTTTTCAACAGTGGCTGTACCATTTTGCATTCCCACCAGCAAAGCCCAAGTGTTCCATTGCTCCACACCCTTACTGAAACTTGGCATGTCCACTTTTTAAAACTTTTAGCCACTCAAATAGGTATTTCACTGCGGTTTTAATTTGCATTTCCCTAATGACTAGTAACCTTGATCATCCTTCCACGTGACTGTTGACCACATGCGTGTCTTCTCTGGAGAAATATTCCAAATGGCCTTTGCCCATTTTTAAATGAATTACTTTTTGTTGAATTGTAAAATCTCCTTCTAAAATAACTTGTTGAAACTATAAATTTAAAGAAAAGTGTTAAGTAAACAACAGTACAATTGGGCAAAAATAATGAAGGCAATGTACAACTCAGGGACTAGTTTGAGCAATACTGGCTCAGACGCTAAGAGCAAGCATTCTGGAGTCACAGCACCCAAGTTCAAATCCCAGTTCTGCCTCTAAAGTGCTGTGGGGGACGTTTTGGGCAAGATACTTAACCTCTGTGAGACTGTTTCCCCGGCTTTAAGAGGGGTGGCCCCTGCCACTTGAGAATTATTGGAACAAATTAAATGACGCGTGTGAAGCGCTTACTCAGTGCCAGCGCCGCTAAGCGCTCTCTAAAGTTAGCTACAAGGACGTCTGGCGACGAAGCCCGCGGCCTCCCCGGTTCAGCTTGCTGAGGCGCCTGTCCGCAACCGCAGAAACCAACCACCACGTACTGCACGCCACCGCGCACAGACCTTTACACACACGCCCTTTCCTCAGCGACCTCGCAGCGGCGCCCGCCCCTAGCGCGGAGCCCCTGTGACCGCGCCACCACACTTCCGTTTCCGGGGCACCGAGGCGACTTCCGGCGCGGTGACCTGGGCGCGCTGGCCTCGGCGGCACCGGGAGCCGGAAGGGTGTTCATTGGCGACCGGTAACCGGGCGGCGGGTGGGAGTGGCCCGTTGGGGCGCTGCTGACCCTCGGCAGGGAAGGGCGACCTTCGTCTTGCGACCCGGGCCGGAGACTGGGTACACTTCAGCCCGATCCACGGTGGAGCCCTTCTCGCTACCTTTCCCTGGGCTTCACCTGCTCCCCAGGATCCTGTGATTAGGGCCCTGGGGGTGGGAGTCGGGAGACGTGGGTTTCATTCTAGCCTGCGCCATTGGTTGGCTCTCTGACCGTGGTAGGATACGTCCTTTCGTGGGCTTCAGCTGCCTTATTTAGCAGATGGAGGTCGTTATCACAGTGATTGTGAGCTCCTTAATGGCAGGAACTGACATTTATTTGTGTTAGACACTGTCGCCTGTCCCGGGTACAGAACAAGAACTGTGTAGGTACTCTGGGCCTACTTGTTTTGGCTCACGAAACTTTGAAAATCTGCCGAGAACTATTGATCTCCACCTCCCACCCAGCTCTTTAGTCCCTCCTACTCCACCCCGCCCCCCACCCTACCAAAAGCTCAGATAAAGGAAATTTGGCTTACTGGTTTAAATAGTTCACAGGTCTCTCTTGATGCCCATCCAAGCATCCCAGAGCCTATCCTGTCCTAGGCATTCAAATATTTGTAGTCACTAGATAGTAGGTGCTCAGTTGATCATTTTTTAATGCATGAATCACTGTCCATTTCAAGGAGGAAGATAGATATCCTTAATTAGCAAGTTTTAATCATGGGCCTGGCAGTATGCTATTCCCACTGAAGTCTTACAACTCTAAGAGAGAGGCATTATTCAGTTCCCATTTGGCAGATAAGGAAGTTGAGACAATGGAGAATAAACTTGTTTTAGGTCATTCAGCCTCTGAATGGTGAGGGCAAGAATTCAGACCCAGGTCTGAAATTCCAAAGCCCCATGTTCTTAACTGCTAGCTGAAAAAGGACTAGATGTAGAAATATTTTTGAATGTGTTGTAGCAACTTCTGTTTTGGGATTAACTGTTGTAGTTATGCGATGGCTATCATCAAGATAGGTGATCCCAAACCAAACATTGCATGCTGTGGAAATACTCTTGTCTGTCTCCTTTTCTTCCACAGTACCTGTATTGCTTGTTTAATAATATTTTATATCCTCCACTTTGTACCCATGTTATTCAGTCCTTTTATCTTTGGTGAATACTGATTCCGTTGTGTTGCATTGTTCTGCCAGACCTCCAAAGCAGATGTTTTTAGTTATAGTTGAAATAAGAGGTGATAACGTTTAGGCATTATTTCTTTTTCTTTTCTGTACTACTTTTAAAGGGACTATATTCAGGACCTTGGAAGCACTGCCAATATGTCTGATGTTCAAGAAGCCACTAACCAGCTCCTGGATGTGAACCTTCATGAGAACCAGAGGTCTATACAAGTGACAGAAAGTGGCCTCAGAAGTGAGTCTGAACATCTCCAAGTCACTATTGGAGCCACTGTGCCTACTGGTTTTGAGCAAACAGCTGCAGATGAAGTGAGAGAGAAATTGGGGTCACCGTGCAAAATCAGCAAAGACCGGGGCAAGATATATTTTGACATTTCAGTGGAAAGTCTGGCTCAGGTTTGAATGAAGCAATGTTTAAAATAGTTTTCTAAATATATCATTTTATGGTTACTTTCTAGTTTACAGACCTCTCTGGAATCCTTATTGCTTTTCTTTTCTTTGCTCTGCCCCAAATCAGGTAATTTTAAAGTATTACTGCATTTTCCATTGGGTACTGATTTGTAAGTGTGACTACTAGGTTTGCTTTATTTTTTAGAAGTGATCCTAGTATTTCCTGAGGATGAATTCACCAGAAAGGATCCTGTGAGACTTATGAAGAAATTCTTAGTATCTGCTACGCCTCTTAGAATTTATTTACTTCAGCATCTAGCTGAAGTTTAGACTTCAGTGGTGAAGCATAAAGGGAGAGATTTTTCTTTTTATCTGTGTCAAATTTATTCTTGCTCAAAAGTAATTAGGAATCACTGAAGGTGAGAAGTGAAGGTCAGCAAAACTGCCATCCCACTAAAGTAAAAGCTAAGCTGTATCTCATTACTACATAAGCAACATGAGGGCAGGGATTGTTGCCTGTTTGTTTGTTTTTTTTCTTTTTTTTGGTCAATATCTCCCAAGCTCTTAGTATCTGGCATATAGTAGACACCCACTACATATCTGTGGGATGAATTGGTAAGCAAGTATTTTTCATCCAGTGTTTTAGATAACAACTCAGCAGCTTTGTAAAGATAGGCCCTACCATTATCCTCATTAATTAAGGATTAATTAATTTTATTCCTAAAATTGAGCTTAGGAGTAAGTAATTTGCACAGGGTTGCTTAGCTAATAATCACAGAGCTGGAGCTCAAACCCTACCTATACAGTACCCCAGAGAGCCATGAGGGCAGTATAAAGCCCCACTTCACTGTCTTCCTCTCTCCCTTCCCCCCAAAACCCATGTTGCCCACATAACACTTCAAGCTTCTATCCTGCCATCTGTCTTTTTTCCTTTTCTGTAGAGGAACAGAAGCTGGGAAAAATTTTAAATACAAATTATAGGTATTAGCTGCTTTAAAATCTTTGTACCTGATTTTTATATTTAAATGCTGATAGTTTATGCGCTTCAAAAGTTTTTGGAGAAATTTGTTTCTAACATTTTTTTCCCTCCCCAGGTTCACTGTCTGAGATCAGTTGATAACTTATTTGTGGTTGTTCAGGAGTTTAAGGATTACCAGTTCAAAGAAACAAAGGTGAGCTATCCCAAACGCAGTAGCTGATTTTCAGCCGTCTTCCCAAAGAGATTATTTCCACTTTTCACATTCTGTGTATCGTTTAGCATTACTGCTGCTTTTATAATATAGAATACTGGGAGACTTTTACAGTAAAATCCAGAGATTTATTGATAGTCCATCGCAAAAGTTGCTTTTAAAAATCATTATTGCAGGGGGTGGGGAATGGATGAAGGGAGTCAACAGGTACAGATTTCCAGTTATAAGTAAGTCCTGGGGCTATAATGTACAGTATGGTGACTGTAATTAATACTGTATTGCACATTTGCAAATTGCTAAGATAGTAGGTCTTAAAAGTTCTCGTCACAAGAAAAAAAATTTTAACGGTATGGTGACAGATGTTAACTAGATTGTGGTGATCATTTTGCAATGTAAACAAATACTGAATCATTATGTGTACACCTGAGACTAAAATAATATTATATGTTAATTGTATTCCATTTTCTAAAAAGATGAAAGAATAACAACAAAGAAATAAATATCAATATTGAAAAACTTATAAGAAATAGAACAAATTGTTTGACTTTCTTACAAAAGAGGGACACCTTAGATGAGCTTTGCTGATGTATATGGTTTCAAAATAGAATTGCTTCTAGGCTGTGAACCAGAGTAGGTGACAGTTTGTGTCATCTACAAATAACACTTTCTCTCACCATGCTCCTTTTGCCCTGCTTTCTTCTCTAGCTTGTTTTTTGAAATAAAGCCAAAGTAATATCTAAATACTCCTTCAGTTGTTAGGATAACAGCTTTGTCCCCAACTTGTATTTAGCATCTGATTCCTAAATATTGAGACGCTGCCTAAGCTGAACGCTGAAAATAGATCACAGTGAGTCTTTGGTATTTTTCCAGATTGCTTTTTGGTCTGGTTTCCAGAGTCAAATGCTTGAAAACTTTTTTCTTTCAGTTTTATTGCCTATATTAGAAATAATCTTTTTTAAAGTTGTGATGTGCTGCCTAATTCTCTAATTTTTATTTATTGACAACAGGTTGATTTCAAAAACTAAACTGATATGAACCCCCAACCTAGAAAAAAACAGACCTAAAAGAACTGAGACTCAAAATAGATGATAATTTTATTAACTAAAAATGTAACTTCTAACACTAGTTTTATAACCCTTCAGCCTTCTGATAGGCATTGCCAACCATATCATATCTATAAAACTAGTGAATAGCAGGCAGGGTACTGACAGTTTTTGCTCTTAAGTATTTCAAAATTGTGATAGTCAATTCTATACATGAATAAATGTTAACATATTTTTTAAAACTATAAGTGTCCATCTTAAATTCTTGCCTCTAACCTACTAGGGTGTTATTAATATTTTCTTCAATTACTATGTTTTTGTCATCTTAGAATTTGTATTATTTTGAGTATTTTTGGAGGTGAATTTGTTATTATGGAATGGTTCTATATGAGCCAGGTATTCAGAGTTGCCTTGTAAGTAACTGCAAAAGATATTACTGGTGGAAGTCCCAGAAGAAGAGCAGCAGGGATTAAGGCAGATTTTCTTTCATTTTTTTTTCTTTTTTTAAAAAATAATTTCACCTTTTATTTTTTTTTTTAATTAATTTATTTATTTTACTTTTGGCTGCATTGGGTCTTTGTTGTTGCACACGGGCTTTCTCTAGTTGCGGCGAGCGGGGGCTACTCTTCGTTGCGGTGCGCGGGCTTCTCATTGCGGTGGCTTTTCTTGTTGCGGAGCACGGGCTCTAGGTGCATGGGCTTCAGTAGTTATGGCACTCAGGCTCAGAAGTTGTGGCACATGGGCTTAGTTGCTCCACGGCATGTGGGATCTGCCCAGACCAGGGCATGAACCTGTGTCCCCTGCATTGGCAGGTAGATTCTTAACTGCTGCGCCACCAGGGAAGCCCTGAGGTAGATTTTCAGATCTCTGCAAGGGCAACTTCTCTTGTGTATAACCATGAGAAATTGTTAAGCCCTCCACTTCGTGGACTTAATTTGGAACATGCCCCCAATAAAACCTTGTTTTTAAACATTCGCTTCTAGTTTTCATTCTGTTGACCATCAGTTTTTCTTTGTTGCATTATACTTTCTCATGGCTTATAAAAGCCTGTTAGTTTAAGCATTCTAATGGGTTCTCTTATTTTTAAATATTCAGATGATATCATGAATTTTATTAGCCTTTTTATTAACTGATTTTAAAAAAGGCTAACATCTGTGATTAAAATTTTTTTAAGCTAGTTTATACATGTTCTCAGAGCAAAACTGTAAAGACTGAAAAGATATACAGTGAAAAGTATTCCCCTGTTTTCATACCAAGTGTTTCCCTCCTTGGAGGCAACAACTATTACCAATTTCTGAGATATCCTTCTAGAGATATTTTATGAATATGTGTATTTTATTTACATATTTACACAAATGGAAGTATGACATACATACTGTCCTGTGCTGTGCTTTTTCTCATTTTTCTTGGAGATGATGGCAATATCATTGTTGGATTTGACTGTATCACAATTTAATCGGTCCCATTTTAGGACATTAGGATTTTTCACAGTCTTGCTATTACAGTAGTGCAATGAACATCCTATATACACCCTTGTACATATTCAGTCTGAGGGTCATTTTTCTGTTTAATAAGTTTATCCCATTGATGTTTATTGACACGACAGAAATGTTTGGTCTTGGTTCAGTCACATTTATGCTACATGCCTTCTGCTTTCTTTTTCTTTCTTTTTAAAAATTTACGTTACGTGTTTTCTTTGCTTTTTCCCCGTGCACGTGTTTTAAAATATTTGGAAGGCTTGTATTTGCTCTCTAGCTATTACCTTTATAAATACAACTTAATCTACTGCTTACACAGTATTTTTGAATCCCTACTAAGAGCAGTGATGAAATTGGCATATTTCCCACATCTCTCTTCCTTCCCTTTCACCTTCCAGTTTTATAATTTTTCTTAGTGTTGAACCACATGCCTTTAAATCCTTTAAATATACTTTTTTAAAAATCATCTTTATTTATTTTTTTTTTTAAAGATTGGATGAAACCCGAAAAGCTTTAATGCTGCATGAAAAGTCACTGAGATTATATTCTGGAAGCACCAAACTGCCTGTGTTTTGCACTTTCTCTGCTAAGCATTAATTTCTATCCTTTGACCTTGGGGTATGAGAGAAGAGGATATCAGTGTGCTTAAATTACTTCCCATCTTCTGTTCCCTTTCCCCTCTAAGGACAGGCCACTTTGTAACATTTACATTCTGTTTTGCAGTCATAATCCCTGTATTTGTTTTCATTTTAGTCCTATAGTTAAATTGATTATAGACATACTACCTGTCCTTTTGTTACAGTTTTTATCTCTTGACTGGCATGAGTTCACAAATGTTTGTCTTTCACCTTTCTATTTGATTAATAGTTTGGGTTTAAAATTTGGAGTCACGCTTTCCTTCCTTAAGAATATCATAGACAATGTTTGTTCTCTTCTAGCATGAAATGTTGCCATGGAGAATTCTGAAGTCATCCTGTTATTTTTCCTCCTTATTTGTTGCTTTCTTGTTATTTTTGCTTGATGCCCAGATGATTTTTTTTTTTCAATTTTGAAGTTCACCAGGGTACATCTCCTTGTTGCTAATTCCAGTTAAGACATGTCAGTCTGTAGAGAAATTCACTTCCATTTATGTTTCTTGAAAGTTTTCTTGAATTATTTTTTTAGTATGTTTTCTTTATTTTAAATCCCTCCATCAGGGATAAACCAGTTATACATACAGCAGGATCTCTTTGACTGTCTTTGATGTTTTATCATGTTCTCTCTAATCCATTTTAAAATTTTTGCTCATTTTTATTGTATTTGCTTTACTTTTCTTCACATTCCTTACTGTGTTTTCAGCGGTGGCTTTTATATGTGGTGCTTTCAATATGGTCTTCATTTTTGCAGTGGTTTGTTTTTTTATTCCACTTTTCTTTGAACTCTACAAGATCCTGTTTCATCTCCTTCTGGCGGCTCCCCTCATCTTTTTCCTGCTTTTATATCTCTGCTTTGAGCTCTTATTTTACAAAAGTATCTCCTTATTACATTTTTTGATGTCATGTCAACATATTTGACCACGGTTTTCAGCTGCTCTGTGGCAGTGTCTTTCTGGTCACTGGATTTAGTCCACTGTTTTTCTGTCCCTTTTCTTCTTTTTTCCGTTCATATAAGTCTGGTGCTGATAACTTTTGATAATTGCTCATCTTTGAATGAGGTAGTTCCTCTTGGGCCTACTGTTTATAGGAGGTTCAGGAACTGTTCCAAGCTAGCAAGAAATCCCTCTGGTTCACTGTGAAGTTCCTTTTGACAAAAGGTTGTGGTGAATGAGTTCTCTTCCTTTTTTTTAAATAGCTTTATTGAGGTGTAATTTCCATACCACTTAATGAGTTCTTTTAACCATTACTTCTCCCTAGCTGGAAGCATTCAGCAGCTTTAGGGTTATTCACAATGTAGAGTATCTCTCCCCATCTCTACTCTGTTTCCAGCAAATAGAGCATGTCTGTGAGATTCCTTGTTCAGCCTCCATTTCTCTCCTCTGCTGCTTCTGGGTACAAACGAGATCCAGGGACGCTCCCTCTCAGTGCATGTACTTGTTCCCTGCTGTTCCAGAGAAGAGTTTATTTCCTACTGCTCTGCAGACTGCTCTCCCCTTTGTCTGAGATCTGTAGTCATTCTCCCTCTGTTGTCTTTCTGCACCTCTGCTTTACCTTCACTGAACCTGGGAATTCTTATGTTAGAATTCTTATGTTCTGTTTCTAGGTTACAGGTATCATGTAGATTCTATTAGGATAGAGTTGGTATTTCTGTTGTTCTTTTCTTTTAGAGTGGTTTCTGAAGAAAGAAAGGGGCTGTACCAGTGTTATCCCACCATGTTAAACCTACAAGTCCTATAGATGCCCTTTATATGGAAATTATTTGTAAATAAAATTGAATTTGCCCAACCTGAAATTACCATTATTTCATCAGGTTTCAAGTAGTATTAGAGCCTTCACTCATTTCCAATTCAAGTCTCAGCTCCATCAGTCAGCACTGATTTCTTTCTACTTTGATCTTCAGTAACATATACTGTCTGTGCCAGTGCTCTGCACCAGAACTTCTGATGGAAATGTTGTATGTTTATGCTGTCCAGCATGATAGCCATGTGAAGTGTAGCTAATATGACTGAGAAACTGAATTTTTAATTTTAAATCATTTAAAATATTTCAGTAGCTGTATGTGACTAGTGGCTGTTGAATTGGATAGCACGGCTCTGTACCACCCATTTTAACATTTTACCACATATCCATTAGCTGTTTACTGAGCACCTTTTTTACACCAGACACTGCTCTTATGTGTGGTTTATAGCAATGGTCAAGACAGCCAAGGTCTTTCCACCCTGTGCTTACCTTCTGGGAGGAGCCTAAACCTAATAACTTTAGATAATGTTAAGTTCTCTAAAGAAAATAAAATGAGAAAAGAATGACTTGAGAGGATTACTTTAAGTAGAGCAGGTCTCTCAAAGGATGTGCCTTTTAAATTGCTGTTAAATAATGAGAAGAGAACCAGCAATGCAGAGAGGCCATATGAAGCAAATACCTTCCAAGCAGAGGTACGAAGCTAGGGAGAGAATGATCCTGAAGTGATGTAAGAGACACAGGCAAGAGTCGGGTTGTTTGGGCTTTTTAAGGAAGTTAAATTTTGGGGGGTGTAATGGGAGGCTGTTGAGGGGCTTTAAGCATGATCAGGTTTACTTTTCTAAAAGATGACTATAGATACTATTTAGAAATTGGATAGATACATTTTTAACTGCTTAAGCTTTGGATTTTTTCTTTTCAAAAATAGTTAATTTGTATACACAGCACAAAATTCAAAAGGAAGTCAGTGAGAGGTAAGCTGCCCTCCCTCCCCTGTCTTTCATCTCCTCATTTCCACTCGCTGGAGGTAACCACTGTTAATAGTTCCTTATTTGCTTACATTTTAATCTTGAATCCCAGCCTCTGATCTACCATTCTGTCTTGTATTATTCTGTCGTAGCCTTAATTTGTGTAAATCTTAATTTTCAGTGAGACTTTAATTTCCTCAATTGCAGACATTATACTATTTACTCTTTTGTCCTGTACTCCTGCCACCCCCAACATAACAATTAACATAGTCTGTAGGCAAAGTAGGGGTTTATTTGTTCAATTAAAGTGGTGAGAAATGAATGAAATGAATGGATTTCATTCTCTCTTTTATAGGAAGAAGTTCTAAAGGATTTTGAGGACTTGGCTGGGAAGCTTCCATGGTCAGACCCTTTAAAAATATGGAAAATTAACACATGTTTCAAGAAAAAAAAAACAAAGCACAAAAAGATAAATCAGAATTCAAGTAAAGAGAAGATTGAAAGTGGACGAGGAGACAAAACAGATGAGAGAGATGTCAAAAAAGAGTTCACTAACAATGTCTTAGATTCACAGATCTTAGACTATTATGAAAATGCAGCCATCAAAGAAGAGATATCAACATTAGTAGGTGATGATTTGACATCTTGCAAAGATGAGACTGAGGAAAGCTCAAAAGAAGAAACTGATCCTGAAGTGCTGAAGTTTAGAGTCACATGCAACAGGGCAGGAGAGAAACATTGCTTTTCCTCAAATGAGGCGGCAAGAGATTTTGGGGGTGCTGTTCAAGATTATTTTAAGTGGAAGGCTGACATGACCAACTTTGATGTGGAGGTAAGTGCAGGCTCTTACTGTGAGGATTCAAGAAGCCTCTCATAAATGTGTAGAATTTTCAAGACTAACCCAATCTTATGGACAAATTAAACTGAGGCCACAAAGCTAATAGGGTATCTTTTTTTTTTAACATCTTTGTTGGAGTATAATTGCTTAACAATGGTGTGTTAGTTTCTGCTTTATAACAAAATGAATCAGTTATACATATACATATATCCCCATATCTCTTCCCTCTTGCGTCTCCCTCCCTCCCACCCTTCCTACCCCACCCCTCTAGGTGGTCACAAAGCACAGAGCTGATCTCCCTGTGCTATGTGGCGGTTTCCCACTAGCTATCTATTTTACATTTGGTAGTATATATATGTCCATGCCACTCTCTCACTTTGTCCCAGCTTACCCTTCCCCCTTCCCATATCTTCAAGTCCATTCTCTAGTAGGTCTGTGTCTTTATTCCTGTCTTGCCCCTAGGTTCTTCATGACCATTTTTTTCTTAGATTCTATATATATGTGTTAGCATACAGTATTTGTTTTTCTCTTTCTGACTTACTTCACTCTGTATGATAGACTCTAGGTCCATCCACCTCACTACAAATAACTCAATTTTGTTTCTTTTTTATGGCTGAGTAATATTCCATTGTATATATGTGCCACATCTTCTTTATCCATTCATCTGTCGGTGGACACTTAGGTTGCTTCCATGTCCTGGCTATTGTAAATAGAGCTGTAGGGAACGTTGTGGTACATGACTCTTTTTGAATTATGGTTTTCTCAGGGTATATGCCCAGTAGTGGGATTGCTGGGTCGTATGGTAGTTCTATTTGTAGTTTTTTAAGCAACCTCCATACTGTTCTCCATAGTGGCTGTATCAGTTTACATTCCCACCAACAGTGCAAGAGGGTTCCCTTTTCTCCACACCCTCTCCAGCATTTATTGTTTGTAGATTTTTTGATGATGGCCATTCTGACCGGTGTGAGATGATATCTCATTGTAGTTTTTGATTTGCATTTCTCTAATGATTAATGATGTTGAGCATCCTTTCATGTGTTTGTTGGCAATCTGTATATCTTTGGAAAAATGTCTACACAACGACTCAAAACCTATGGGATGCAGCAAAAGCAGTTCTAAGAGGGAAGTTTATAGCAATACAATCCTACTTAAGAAACAAGAAACATCTCAAATAAACAACCTAACCTTACATCTAAAGCAATTAGAGAAAGAAGTACAAAAAAACCCCCAAAGTTAGCAGAAGGAAATAAATCATAAAGATCAGATCAGAAATAAATGAAAAAGAAATGAAGGAAACTATAGCAAAGATCAGTAAAACTAAAAGCTGGTTCTTTGAGAAGATGAACAAAATCGAGAAACCATTAGCCAGACTCATCAAGAAAAAAAGAAGACTCAAATCAATAGAATTAGAAATGAAAAAGGAGAAGTAACAACTGACACTAAAGAGATACAAAGCATCATGAGAGATTACTACAAGCAACTATATGCCAATAAAATGGACAACGTGGAAGAAATGGACAAATTCTTAGAAATGCACAACCTTCCGAGACTGAACCAGGAAGAAATAGAAAATATGAACAGACCAATCACAAGCACTGAAATTGAAACTGTGATTAAAAATCTTCCAACAAACAAAAGCCCAGGACCAGATGGCTTCACAGGCGAATTCTATCAAACGTTTAGAGAAGAGCTAACACTTATCCTTCTCAAACTCTTCCAAAATATAGCAGAGGGAGGAACACTCCCAAACTCATTCTGTGAGGCCACCATCACCCTGATACCAGAACCAAAGTTGTCACAAAGGAAGAAAACTGTAGGGTATCATTAACAAGAGCATGGGCTATTGAGACAGAGCTAGATCCAACTTTTGACTCCCTAACTGTGTAACTTTGGACAAGTTATTCTCTCTGAGCCTCTGTTTCAAATGGAGCCAATAATAGTTTATACCTGTGTGTCCTGAAGGTTAAATGAGATTATACATTTTAAGTATCTGGTGTGATACCTGGTCTATACTACATGCTTAATAGATGGGAGCTATTAAGACTTGAATTTTCCAATTTCTAATCTAGTGCTTTTTACAACATTATGTGGACTTTCAGATTATAAAATTCAAAAGAATTAAAACAACTATTTTGTTTTGTGTGTCTTGGTTTCAGACTTTGCTTCTGAAGTGGAATACATTTTTAAAACAAACCTTGACCTTCTAAAATCAGGACATCATTGCTAATACTCATGCTAGAGCCAGCTGTCCTTTTTCTTAAATTCTGCTAGATTCCCAAATCCAGATACCTCTTTTTAGCATGCTTACCCTCCTTGGTCTCAATCTTCTACTATAAGGGTGATTCACATGTGAGCCATACTAACAAGTCTTTCCATCTCTGACAGCTTAAAAGGCCCCTAGCAGCTGACGTTTTCACCAAGGAGTCATTTACTGTTGCTTTTGGGACACTTGAATCTGGGGCAAGTTGCCTGTTCTCTCTGTAACTTTTGTTTTTGCATATCAAATCAGAAGAACAAGTCCCCATTCTTTTTTTTCTTGTAACAGCTGTTATGAGAATGAATAGGCTAACTAGAACAGTGATGTCCAGAAGTTAGCATGGGAGCTCAGAGTACAGACTCTGGAGCCATACTACATGGATTTAAATCTCAGTTTACAAGCTGCATAACTTTGGGCAAGTAAACCGACCTCTTTGTGCCTTGATTTCCTTATCTATAAAAGGAGGATAATAATACCTAGCTCAGAGGGTGTGGCTATGAAATGAGGTAACAAATATAAAGTGTGTAGAACAGTGGTTTGCATATAGCTAGGTAAGTGTTAGCTGCTGCTGTTAAGATCATGATGAGGAAATTTTAGGTGGAAGATTGCAGAACATATTTTATTTCAACTTTTATTTTTGTTTGAATAGTATATATTTAACTGTGTGTTAGAAAAACTATAACTAAGACCAAAAAGAAACATTCTTTCACAGACATTACTTGAGTCAAGTTTTAAAAAATACTAAAAAAAAATAGGTTTTAAAGCAAATGTGGCCCATCGTTAACAGTTGGTTAATCTAAATGAAGAGCATACTTAAGAGTTCGTTGTGCCAGTGTTGTGCCAGCATTTCTGGATGTTTGGAATTTTTTCCAAAAAAGTTAAAAATTTTAAAAATGCATATTAAAAACCTGGAAACCTTCAAAATGTGTTTCTCTTATAAAAATTCGGGGGGAATCTGGTTATAGCTAACTTGTGAATACGGTGAATTAAAAGGAGAATAAAATAGATTATAAAAATTTTAAATACAGTATTCTTAAATTATTTCATTTATATGAAGCTCAAAAAAAGACAGAAGAGTTTATCACGGTAGTGGTCAGATTAATGATAATTTGTGGTGGGTATTGACAGAGGGCAAGAAAAACTATATATATGTTTATATGATGGTTACACAGCATTTATATGTAAAAATTACTGCGCTTCACACTTAAGATTTGTGCATTTTACTGTATGCAAAGTATACCTCAGTAATAAAGTAACAAAAATTAATAAAGCCTCAAATTTTAAAATCTTAGTGATAAGTACAGTTCGAATAACCCTAAAACTATTTTATTATTTTATAGGTTCTTTTGAATATCCATGATAATGAAATTGTTGTGGGCATTGCATTGACAGAAGAGAGTCTCCACCGAAGAAATATCACACATTTTGGACCCACAACTCTTAGATCTACTCTTGCCTATGGGATGCTCAGGTAAGAGAATGGGTTTGCCATGTAGATGAAAGTGACAACTTGGTTTGAATTTTCCCTTCAAAATGTAATTTTTTGTGAGGTACTGTGTTAGAATCTAGTAGTTAAGGAACAGGATAAAAAGCTAAAGCTCTTTCTTTGTATCCAATGTTGATTCCTTGAGATCCTGAAAATATCACTTAATTACTATCTCAATTTTCTTGATTTTAAAATGAGAACAGTAGTTTTCATCTGCCTCTTGAACGTGGTTATCACGTTTCTGTTTAGAAAGGATATACTGCGTGTTGGGAAATAGAACAAATTTTGCTTTGTTTCATTTCTATGCAGTGAAGCAGATGAAAGCAGAGATTTTTTTAATGTGTATAATGTATAAGTGAACACAGAGAGCTTTTACTTATATTTTAGAATTTTATACTCACATGGAAAATTTTCCACTTTTCCAAGAGCAAGATATAACTTTCTTTCTCCTTTGCCCTTTTCCCTTTGATTGGGTGTTTCTTTCCACCACTAGGACGAGTTGTTTTCTCTAAGTTTCTGTTTGCCAGACTGCAAAATGGGTTTGATATTAGACTTAAAGGATTATTAGTGAGGAGTAAATTGCAAAAACAGATGAAAAATACCTGTTACATACGGTGCCTGGCATAGCCTGGTAGTTAATTGTATTTCCTACTCCTCCAATATTTGCTTCCTCTTTTACCCTGCTCATCCATGGAGTCCTAGTTCAATACAATTGGAACCTGTCAATTCAATGACAACAATAGAAAACTGCACCCGTTTGATTAAGGAAGAGCTCCTAGTCTTCATTCATTTAACAAACACTTATTATCTACTGCCAGGCATTATGGTTGGAGCCAGGGATATGGAGAGTTATTTTGGGTGCAACTGTTAGAAACCTAAGTAAGCTAGTTTAAGATTAAAAAAAAGTGATGATTGTGTGGGAGGGGGAATTACTGGCAAGATACTGAGAAGTCTTGGGAAATCCACAGAAAAACTAAAAGCCATATCTTAAGAAGGGTAGGAACCAGGTCTTAGAAAACCACCAGAAACCTAGACAGTCACTTTTATCTACCCTGGGAGCCTACAGGTTCTTGTTTTGCTCATCTGTGCAAATGGCTGCCCGTCATCTAAATTTATGTATTTCCAATTTTAAATAACCAGCCAGCCCCACACTGCCTAGGTCTTCTAGCTCTTTGTTCCCACGTCTTAGAAGAGAGAATCTGGTTGACATAGTTTCAGTCATGTGTTCACCCAGACGCAGCAGCAGTGGCTAGGAGTACGGGGTTGCTTACTACCAAGAGGGTTGCCAAGGATTCTGTTGCCGTGTGTTGAGGGGCAGGAATGGAGAAGTAGAGCTGGGCAGGTATTACAATAAGAATCCAGAGTTAGTCCCCAGGAATCTCAGTTTTGTAAGGGAGAACCATAATAGAATGTGGAAAGAATAGCAGGACAAAAGGAGGAAAGAGAAACCTTGTCGCCTGTCTGAGGAGGGGATGCTTCATAGAAGAGGTAACATTTAAGCCACTAACAGTAATTCCTCTAATCCTGACTCTGTCACCTACTAGCTTTGTGTCCATGGACAGGTTTGCATCAGCTTATCTGTAAATGAGAATAATAATAGTAACCTATCTCACAAGATGGTTAAAAGGACTAAAAGAGATAATGCATGCAGAGAGCTTAAATCCATGCCTGGCAAATACTAGGTGCTCAAAGTAAAGCAGTTATTTTATAGCAATGTTATTATCTTTCAAATTGAATTAATTAGGAAAGGAATACTGAATGAATAATTTCCAGTAAACTTATATTGATATATATTCTACTTCACACATTTGAGTTGTTTTAAATGTAACAACACAGGTCTATATACAAAATAACATGTGTTTTCTAAAAGCATATACACACATATATTAACAGATCTAGAAGCTATTTCCATTTGGAAGTGAAATGGGATTTTGGATGGTAGTCAAAGGGGACTTTTAGTTATATGTAATGTTTTTGTAAGCGCTAGGATATAGAGTCAACATGTAATTACAAATTGATTTTAAAAATAAATATCAATTGTTTCTTCATGCTAGCATAACAGGCCTTTGATCTTACAGCTTTAGGAATAGTCTTTGTGGAAGTCTTGTCTGTTCACATAGGCTGTTTTCTTCTCTAGGCTCTGTGCTCCTCAGCCTACTGATATAATAGTTGATCCGATGTGTGGAACAGGGGCAATATCAATTGAGGTAATAACTTTTCTTTAGCTTTTATTTATTTATTTATTATTTTTTAAATTTTATTTTTGTCTGCATTGGGTCTTTGTTGCGGTGCATGGGCTTTCTCTAGTTGCAGCCAGCGGGGGCTATTCTTTGTTGCGGTGTGCGGGCTTCTTATCGTGGTGGCTTCCCTTGTTGCGGAGCATGGGCTCTAGGTACATGGGCTTCAGTAGTTGTGGTTTGCGGGCTCTAGAGCACAGACTCAGTAGTTGTGGTGCACAGCCTTAGGTGCTCCGTGGCATGTAGGATCTTCCCAGGCCAGGGCTCAAACTTGGGTCCCCTGCATTGGCAGGCATATTCTTAACTACTGCGCCACCAGGGGAGCCCTTCTTTAGCTTTTAGATAAGGAAGTGATACATCCAGAATGTTCTAGAACTCATGGGTAAATAGACATAATGAAATCACCAAGGTTAGATCCATGGACCCAAGAGTTTTGAGTGAATTACACTAGTAAAGCTGGAACTTTTGTGATAAGGATGTAGCCACTTATTACAAATAGCCAAGGACTAGATTTAGGTTTTAAGTCATGTTTAGTCACTGGATTACAGAGGAGGCTGAGAATTACAAACTGGTGAGTCCCATTTCTGTAACAGACAAACTGGTAGACTTGAACAGAAAAGATAATTGAAGGTACAAGCTTGAACTGGAGGAGGGCATTTCATCTCTATAAAGTGAGACTATGCTTCTTCATCCTCCTAGGTTCTTGTAAGATGGGGAAGCCTGTGACCATTAGTTAGGTTTGTTAGGAAGTTTAACAAGGTTACAAAGTTTTCAGAAAATACCATGACATTGAGAGGACTCAAAAACTGCCTAAAGCAAAGCAAGAAATAGAAAGGCATTTTCTAATTGCAGAACATTTAACAGGAGAGTCTCCTTGAATCTGTATTATTGAATCAATATTACCTAAACTTTTATAATAAATAATTTGGAAGAGGGCGCCAGTAAAATTGCTTAAATTTGTAAAAAATTTAAATTAAATTTAAATTTAGGGCTTCCCTGGTGGCGCAGTGGTTGAGAGTCCGCCTGCCGATGCAGGGGACACGGGTTCGTGCCCCGGTCCGGGAGGATCCCACATGCCGCGGAGCGGCTGGGCCCGTGAGCCATGGCCGCGGGGCCTGCGCGTCCGGAACCTGTGCTCTGTTACGGGAGAGGTCATGGCAGTGAGAGGCCCGCGTACCGCAAAAAAAAAAAAAAAATTAAATTTAAATTAAATTAAATTTAAATTTGTAAAAAATTACAAATTTAAATTTGTAAAAAATTGCTTTATGTATAGTATATGTAAAGCCAATGGGAACAAACTGGGAGATACTACAGATTCTGTGACTGAGCAGAAACTGGACAGATGAGCAAGTCCAAAACAACCCACAAAGGGAAAAATAATCCAGACTGCAATTAGAAAATGACATCGGCTATCTGGGAGTTAGAATCCCAGAAGGAAATCATAGTAGTCTAGATGACTGCTGTTTTCTGCTAGTGTCAGCTAGAGAAATTTACTCTGGCTAAAGAGCCACACAGAGAAAACTCAGTTGTTGTCACAAAGAATTCTGGGAACAAAGCAGAGTGTGCTTCTCTAGCATTAAACCATGATGTGTCTATGGTCTGGAGTAGCAGTGAAGGTTACTACATGTCAAGAAATATACAACAGAGCTAGAGAGAGACCAGAGGAGCTCCCAGCCCCACCAAAAAAAAAAAAAGATAAAAAGAAAATGTTTGAGGCATTTCCATGTAGGGGTAGGCATGAGAATGTCGATATGGAAAAACCTAAGTTGGTATATGATCAAAATGAATGAAATTATGAAAGGAATTGAAAGGGTATATAAACAGTTTGTTCACCAAAGTATAAAGTATTTGATTTATAATACTGCCTTTAAAACTTGGAAGTACTATAAAACCCAAAAATCTAAATAGGTTTAGAAGAAAAAATGAATACTCGGCAATCAGAATCACCAGAGAGGTTTTCATCAAACTCTACATCATCCTCCCTACATCACCCTTCTCCATTACCCTCAAGGGTCTGGGCAAAAGAAAAAGCTAAGAAGCCCTGTGTCCATAGATATGGGGGTATTACTGTTTACCATGGAAGAGGTGTTTGTTACTCATCCCTAAACCAAGGGCAGAACTGTCTCTGCTTTCATGTCAGAAACCTTCTGTTAATCTGCATAGAACATTGTTCAGGCCTAGGGTAGTATGTCAGCCCATTGCACAAATAATATGGAAAGCTCGGTATTTCTGTTCTGTTGACATGTTTTTGATTTAAAATTACAAAATCCTGGGTTTCCCTGGTGGCGCAGTGGTTAAGAATCCGCCTGCCAATGCAGGGGACATGCGTTTGAGCCCTGGTCCAGGAAGATCCCACATGCCATGGAGCAACTAAACCCGTGCACCACAGCTACTGAGCCTGCACTCTAGAGCCCGCAAGCCACAACTACTGAGCCTGAGCGCCACATCTACTGAAGCCCGCACACCTAGAGCCCATGCTCCACAACAAGAGAAGCCACCGCAATGAGGAGCCTGCACTCGCAGCAACTAGAGAAAGCCCGTGTGCAGCAACGAAGACCCAACACAGCCAAATATAAATAAAGAAATTTATTTTAAAAAAAAAAGTGACAAAATCCTTTCAAGAATATGGTGGTTATCATTCAAAAGCCTATATAATAGACATTACACTTTATTTAAATTCTCAAATATTCCAGGTTATCGGATTATATAAAAATTCCATAATCACAAAAGGATATAGGTTAGTCAGTTTGATTTGGTTAAACTATGTTTGTATTTAAAGTCTGTAATACCTACTGTGTGGCAGACACTGCTGGGTGAGGGACTGAGTGAAACACCAGACCTATCCTTAAGGAGTTCCTAGACGTTTTGAGCCGCAGACAGGTATAGAAATAATTAAAAAGAGAGCAAGTGCAGTGGCAGATACATGTACAGAGTGCTTTTGGAGGGGCAAATGAGAGACAGCTTGGAGAGTTGTGCTTGATGTCACAGAGGGCATGACATTTGAGCTGGGCCTTGAGAGATAAGAGTTCAGCAAACAGAACAGGAGGGCATTTCAAGCAAGGGGAATAGCAAAGTTGACAGCATGCAGTATTTTGCCACTTTAGAAAAGCATTGGATTATTGGATTGGATTGGATTGTCTTGTTTATTGACAAGTGATTGAAATGATTTTACCTTTAATCATATTTTGGTTTTGTTTTTTTTTTTTTGCAGTTGGCTACTTCTATTTTCATATATACTCTTGTCTTTTAGGGGGCTACAGAATGGTCTAACTGTTATCACATTGCTGGTGATAATAATCCATTGGCTGTGAATAGAGCAGCAAATAACATCTCATCTTTATTGACCAAGAGCCAAGTGAAAGAAGGGTAAAATTTTAATTTAAAAGATTTTGTAGCATCTCTTAGACTTAGATAATCAGTTTTCTTTCTTTCTTTTTTTAAAATTAATTATTTCTTTTTGGCTGCGTGGGGTCTTCGTTGCTGCACACAGGCTTTCTCTAGTTGCGGCAGACAGGGGCTATTCTTCATTGCGGTGCACGGGCTTCTCATTGCAGTGGCTTCTCTTGTTGCAGAGCACGGGCTCTAGGCTCCTGGGCTTCAGTAGCTGTGGCACACAGGCTCAGTAGTTGTGGCTTGCAGGCTCTAGAGCACAGGCTCAGTAGTTGTGGTGCACAGGTTTAGTTGCTCCGCAGCATGTGGGATCTTCCTGGACCAGGATCAAATTTGTGTCCCCTGCATTGGCAGGCAGATTCTTAACCACTGCACCACCAGGGAAGTCCAATAATCACTTTTCTTATTGGCTTTATGAACTAATACAACCAGTGCATTGTGACAGTATTATAGCCAAATGAATATATTGAAACTCCATTTAAATTTTAAAAGTTGATTGAAACTAATTTGTATTTTTAAAATATTTTCAATTTAACTATAATTTCCCCCACCCTAATGCAACTATTTTTATTTCTGTCTTCCTTTTTCTTTCCTTATTTAGATATCTTTTTTCCCATGTAGTGGAAGAACTGCATAGATTCATTTTAATTTCATAAGTTTTCCATTAGTGCATGCAGGCATCCAGCTGGGGGTTTAACAGAGGCACAAGACTCCTCCTAACTGACTAGTGGTCTTTTCTCTGGAAATGTTTTAGTATTGAATAAGTGATGTAGTTTGGAGAAGGCACCCCGTGAAGGGGGTGAGAGAAGGGGCCCTAGCTGTCCTCCTAGCTGTCGGGGAAGAGGACCGAAGTGGCAGCGGTGCACTCTCATATCTGAAACTTAATTGAACACCAACAAGGAACTCAGTCCTCTGCTACATGCTATAAGTATTAGAGAAATACCAGGGGGAAAATAATCTAATGTTCAAATATTTGCATATCCCACACATATTAGCTTTCATGTCCTCTTATTAGTATGTTTCAGGACCATTTTTGATGATTGTAGTCTTACAAGACCACATGGGCCCCAGGACCTAATTCATTCATAACTCAGACTGACACATAGACACGCTTTGTAATCATTTTCTCAATTCAAAATTTCTAGGTTCTTGTAAAACAAGTACATATTAAAATATTAATATTTTCTAATGCAATTAAACAGTTGAAAACATTAAAAAATTTTCAAACGCTTATGTTTTTATTCAATCTGTTTTTTAATGACTGCATAATATTCCATTGTACAGAAATATTACAGTTTATTTAGCCTTTCCTCTGTTATTTGGCACTTAAATCTCAGAGTTGGAAAAGACCTGAAAGCTGTCCCTACAGTCCCTAAATGTCCTGTAGGAGATCCTGACCAGTGGTCTTCCAGCCTGTATAAACACCTCTTATGACTCTGAAGGCTGTTGATTCCAGCTTAGCACAGCTTTGAGTGCTAGTCATATCTTTTAGGGAACATGAATCTCTCCCTGTACCTTGTACAGATCTGGGTTTTTTCTTCCACTTGAGTCCATAAAGAAAAATCTTATCTCTGTGTCACAGTGATGATTAACATCAGATATTTGAAGGGCTACCAACCCTCCTCTCCTTATCCCAGCTCTCCACATCCTCTCTTCTCCAAGCAAAATATTCCAAGGTCCTTCAGCCATATCCCTTTGATATATGTGCATTGAAAGTCTGTTAGCCTCTGGGAAATTTCCCATCCTGAGATGTATGTTGCTATAGTACCTTAAGCCCTAGCCCATTGCTACAAATTGGATTTGACGACACACCATCTGTGCCAGCCTTTCACCATTCTTTCAAAGTCTCAGCTGTCTTTGGGAAGAATTGGTTGAAATAGCACTTGGTCTGCAGTTTCCTACGAGACGCCTCATCACAAAATTGTTTCTCTGGTCTCCTCTGCTTGGAGTCCTTCATTTTCTTACAAGGTGGCAGAAATATGTAGCGGTAAGCAGATTTGTTAGGTCTTACAGGTGCTTCATATCCAGGAGCACAGGAAGTCATTATATCCCATGATTGACCTCACAGCTGCCTCCATGACCCTTAATGTGAGGTTTATATTTGTAAGTAGAAATCAGTTGTTTTTAAGAATATTTGTTCATTTTATGCAAATTTTCATATTATTTATACATGGTATGCCTTAATATTATTTTGTCTGTATATTGCTTATCCTCTTTTCTTTGCTAGTTTTTTTTTCCCTTTTGATTAGATTGCCAGTGCTTTGTTTTGTTCTTTCATATACTATTTGTTCTGTGGTTTTATGCTTGATGCTTTTTGTTTTTTATTCCTATTTCCTATTGAGGTCTTTTCATTTGTTATCTAAAATGTTAAGTTATATGCTGTAAATGTCTTCTTTTTTTTTGTTTGTTTTTTTTGTTTTTTTGCGGTACGCGGGCCTCTCACTGTTGTGACCTTTCCCGTTGTGGAGCACAGGCTCCAGACGCGCAGGCTCAGCGGCCATGGCTCACGGGCCCAGCCGCTCCGTGGCATGTGGGATCCTCCCAGACCGGGGCATGAACCCATGTCCCCTGCATCAGCAGGCGGACTCTCAACCACTGCGCCACCAGGGAAGCCCAATGTCTTCTTTTTAATAAAAGTTTTTACTAGAGCTGACTTTTATGCTAAGTACTCCTGTTGACCATATCCTATAGATTTTGATAAATCTGTTTTGGTTACTTTCTAAATGATTTGTTATATACTTGATTCTCTCTGTTCTAATTGTTTAGGACAGTGCTTTTCAAACTTTAATGTTCAGATGAATCACCTGGGTAACCTGTTAACTACACACAGATTCTGATTCAGTAGGTTTAGGATGGGACCTGAGGGTCTGCATTTCCTGGCAAGCTTCCCAGTGATGTTGATGCTGCTGGTCTGTGGCCCAACTTTGAGGACCAATGGTTTAGATCATTTTTTATACATAAGTAGTTAAAAGCTTTTAGTTTATTTTTATATTATGTTTTATTGTGATTAATGAATTTTTATGGTATATTTTGTTTTATATTTGAGATTTTTCCTGAGGCATAGTACATGACTAGGGTTTCTTTGAAACCTGATATTTTTAAGCAAATAATTTTTCTAGTTTCTGAATATTTTATCATTTTTCATATCCTCTGCATCTTCACTTTTTGTCTGTTCAACCTGTACTATTTCTATCTTACCTTGATTTTTAAAAAATATTTATTTTTTTAATTTATTTGGCTGCATCGGGTCTTAGTTGCAGTACACGGGGTCTTCATTGAGGCATGCGGGATATTTCATTGTGGCGAGCGGGCCTCTCTCTAATTGTGGTGTGTAGATTTTTCTCTCTCTAGCTGTGAGTTTGTGGCACGTGGGCTCTCTCGTTGAGGCGCAGGAGCTCAGTAGTTGTGGCAATGTGGGCTTGGTTGCCCCGCAGCATGTGGGATCTTAGTTCCCTGACCAGGGATCAAAGCCACACATCCCCTGCATTGGAAGGCAGATTCTTTACCACCGGACCACCAGGGAAGTCCCAATCTTACATTGACTTTTAATATTTTTTGCCTTTTTTGTTTTGTTTTATTGTAGCTATTGGTGCTTGTGAGTGTAATACATATTTTTAATATCTGTATTTTTCCTATTATGTAGTGATTACCTCTATTGCATTTTATTTTTTCTTAAATTCTTTATTAAATATCAATATTACAACATTTAATTTCTGCTCATAATCTTGATTTGCTTTTAATTTTTAGCCTGTACATTATTATTGCCTGTTATAATTTTGTTTCTTAAACTAGTAGGTTTGCCTTAATGGGGAGGATTTAAATCATTTATATTATTATATTCATCCTGCCTTCTGTCATTATTTTTTTGATGTTAACTTTTTTGTTCTCGTTTTCTTATAGTATGATACATGTTTTTTAATCTTAAAACCAGTACCTCTATATTTCCTAATTTTACATACCTGTTTCTTTAGGTCTCCTGTTATTTCTGTGTAGACTTACCAAACTTTATCCTTCAGGTGTGTCACCTCATCAGCTTTTTTCTCTTTAGTGTTCTGGTTTTTTCCAGTGTATGTTTCATCAACAATGTTTTTACATCATCAGTTAGGTAATTAACTGCCTCAACACTGTTTTCAAGTTGTGTACTACAGTTCTTTGTGTTAACGGTCTTTTCCCCTTAATCTGTCTTCTTAAATTGTAGATGAAACAGATATAGACAGCTTTTGAAAACGAATCTTAACTAATTTTTTAATTTACTTTTTTACGGACTGTCATTATAAAAGTTTTAGCTTATGACCTATGCTTTCTGCCTACCTGCTACTTTAAAAATTTTTACTAAGTTCTTGATGTTGTCACTGATATTATTATTTTAGTTTTTGTATTTTATAGCAGTCTCTTCAGAAGAAAAGTCTTCTAAAATTTCATTCTTCGGGATATGTTGAAGCACCTTTTCTTTTGTCGCCACAGCAAACTGTCCTGGGGCTTGCCCATAGATACTATTCAGTGGGATATCTGCAACTTGCCACTAAGAACTGGTTCTGTGGACATTATTGTAACAGACATGCCATTTGGAAAAAGGTGGGACTTGTAAAAAAATGAATTTTACTTTCATTTGTTATATTAGTACCCACTTGTCTTCTAAATCTGTTGTATTTTCCTTGAGCTTATTCTGTCAGAAATCTTCCGTTTCTTTTAGCAGACTTAACAGTTTTTCACTTAAGAATGTAACAATATGATAGATTCACCCATTTTGTTTCTTATGAGAACTCAGGAATGTACTAACTACACTTTGATCCTGACCATCACAGGTTTATCCACTTTGTAGCCCGTTGTTGAATTACATTAATACTTCAGAGAAAGGTTGAGGAAAACTTGGTTATCAGGATATTTTTTAATCACTGGTTTCATTTACATAATGATTGCTTATACTCATTAAGGGGACAATTTACATAACTATTAACATAACTATTATAGTTGTCAGATCTTTTCCGTAACCAGTTCATCCCATTCAGAATTCTTAACAACTTAACTAAATCTAACCATTTCACTGACATGTAATGACAAAGGTCTGGCTCTAGAAGGCAACTGTTTTTCATACCTCAGGACTTTCTTATTGCAATGAAAATGAGTTTTTAGTAACTTCTCATTTCATATAGTCCTAGATACTTATTTTTTGCAAAAGTAAGTGACTCATTAGACCTTCTTTTATAGGATGGGCTCCAAGAAGAGAAACTGGAACCTTTATCCAGCCTGCCTACGGGAGATGAGCCGTGTCTGTAGGCCAGGGACAGGCCAAGCTGTATTACTGACCCAGGACAAGAAATGCTTTATCAAGGTGCTGTACGTTAGCTTGAAAACTCAGCCAGCCCATGACAACTTTAGGACCTTTTTAAGTATACTTGGGGATATTTCAATAAGATTTGTTTTCTCCCAGTGTTTCTTACTAAGACCCCTGGTTGGTAGAGAAGCAGTTATCAGCTAATTACTTTTCTACTTTTTGTGTGTACACAGGCATTATCTGGAATGGGACACCTGTGGCGGAAGGTACATACCGTCTGGGTCAACATAGGGGGTCTTCATGCTGCAGTTTATCTTCTGAAACGTACACCTCAAACTTTTGTTCATCCTTCAGAACAAGATGGAGAAAGATCTCCTTGGTGATGCAAAGACTGAAGATGATTAGTAGCGCTGCCAGTGCTTCCTGACAGTGGACATGTCAGCATGAAGAACTTGCTTTGAGAGAAAAATAGTATTAATAAAAGTGATGTTTGGTGTAAATCTCTTCACCCTAGATAGCAAAAGGTGTGAATAGAATGGAACAAGTCTTAAGAGAAAGCAGAGCTTTTCTTTGGAGCTGTTGTAGTTGGGCAATTAGTACTTTTCTTAAAATGCTTTAAAGATGCTAAGCCTACTAAAATACTCTGGGATTTGGGTTTAGAACATTTTATTTTCAGGCTTTATAGCAGTTCCTGTTTTCCACTGTAGCAGGTGGAAAGCTACCCTGGCCTAAGGGAAAGGCAGAGAGCATAATCAGATCGTGAGGTTACATTTCATTGCCTCTGCAGCTTTGTTATTTAGTTGCTCAGGTTCTTCACCTCAACTTTAAAAAATGAAGCATTATTACACTTTGTAAAATAGTGTTTGCCCCATGACAAGGTGAAATCTCACAAGACCTACAGAAAAGTTTACTATCTGCTTTAAAAATTACAATATGCATCTGTTATTCAGATTAATAGAACTAAATAGACATTTCTATTTGTAAACAGCAGGGATTACACTGGTAGATGAAGTATGGGACCAACAAGCCATATTTAAATAAATTTTTCTTTCAGTACACAAAGGTGGTGATGCCTTTCAAAGTCAAACATAAACCTGTCAAAGTATTTTTGTTGGCTTCTCTAAAGGACTAGAGAACAAACTGATGTATCTTTGAATTAAAAACTTTGTGTAAGTTCTTTTATTTTCTCTCAGTCACTATTCATATTTAATTGCTTTTGCAGTAGCAAAGTCCTTCCCAAGACAGTGGAAAATGAAATAACCTAAACATCAAGTCCTTGTAAAAACAGTGCTTCTGTGCAACAGAGTTGGGGTTTTATGTGGCATTCTGTATTCAGTTTACTTTGGAGTTTCTGGCTGCATTCAGCTTAGATTTTCATTGTCATGTCAGTAACATACTAACTTTTGATGTCTCATTTAGAATAAAAGGACACAGTACTTCTTTCCTTTGAAAGAATAGAGTTCACATTAGCAGCAGAGCCAACAGTCCTTGTATGGTTTCTCTCTGATATACCTCACCCTTGAGAATGAATTGGAAGTAAGACATTTATAAGGGTCTTATATCCTAGACTGGAGTTTTTAAGGTCATCAGAATGCAGTTTCACTATTATGGGTTCAACATAGAACAAACAGCCTTTCACCTCTCACAAAAGAAACCATTTAAACCTCTAAGTGTTGGTCAGCAGTCCATAGGACTGGAAAAGTACAAGGACCATGTTTTCTCTACTGTTCATCAACTGCCTGACACATTACCTATCAGCATGGACGTTTAATATCTGTTGAACAAATGGGTATTTTTGCATATTGGCTGTTTTTACGTGTATCAAATTTGTGCTCAATATATCATAGCTTTAGTCCTATTAAATACCATCATAAAAACATGAACAGATGTGATTTAAGATGATATAAGTATGTAGCGAACATTGTAATAGTTTGCCATCTTCCTCTCTAGTATTGTTTTGTAATCTGGTGACAGGAACAGGAAATGCGCTACATGAGGATTCAGAAAAGCTGAGATTGAATTATATATGACACTGCCACCTACTAGTTCTGTGACCTTGGTTTTCAACTTTTGAAACAGACCTGTACCATGGGGATGTAAAAAGATGGGGAAGGTAATCTTAGTAATCTGAAAACAGAATGACTTGAGTTATAGAGCAGACATTCAATGCATTTTAGAGGGGAAAAAAAAACAACAGACATTGAGACAGATTTTATAAATTTAATGAAATTAAAGGAAGATGGTTATCTCCCAGAGACAATATACTACTTGGCTAGAGAGGGAAACATTTGTTTAAACATTTCTTTTAAAATGGTAATAAGACTTTCAGAAAATTTTAGATTCTGACATGTCACATTGCAGACATGGCTCATGTTTCCACTGCAAGGACCAAAAGGTAAGCTGAAGACTGAAAAAAGGAAGTATTTTAAAAGGTCTGTAAAGTGCCTGAAGTATACTCATGCCCACAAGTGCTTAATATTAATTACTGAGCTAGGCATAGGAAAAGTAGAACATCCTTATTCTAAGCATAGCCTTTTCCAAGTTCAGATGAGGTGTTATGTGGGAATATGATGAAAGTTTGAAACTTCTAGGACAAAAAAATCAAATTATTGTACCTTGGTTACATTTTTTTTTTTAAGTTCAGGAGAAACACCATATATAGGTCTCTCCTGTGCCAAATTTTAAAAAGTGCACAATGTGAAAATATTCATCATTGTTTACAAGAAGCCTGCTCTGTCACCCTCATACTTTTGCCCCAAGGCTAACACGTATGCCAATCAGTTGTGAGGTAGTAGCTGTTCAGTGATATATTCCATGATGAAAGCAGTTTTCACTGCAAAGGAGAATGGTGTTTTAGTTTTTCTCACGCCCAAATTCTGAATTTCCAACTGCCTACTATTGTTATCCCTTCTCCTGTAAGTCCTACTTAAACTCAACAGGAACCTATCTTTCTCCACTAAAACCTGCTCCCTGTCTTAGCGTGCCCATCCTCCCAGTAATCCACACTTAGTGCTGGGAGTCATTTTTAGCTACATCCAGCTACTCAACAGGCATGAGTGTTTGTTTACAATATACACTGTGCTACAGCAGCTTTCTCAAACTTCTTGGCTCAGGACCCCTTCACATTCTTAAAAACTGAGGGCTCCAAGTAGCTTTGTTTACCAATATTTTACCATAATTAGAAAAACAGAAAAAAAGTAAAATACAGTAAAAATATTAACACTTTCACGGAAGTAACTATTTTCAACAAAGAATGGCACATTACAAAGCATGTAATCTCATACAATAACCTATCCTTTAAGATACTTCAGTAGGTTTTTCTCATAGTTTTTTGGAGTTGATTCTCCCTATGTGTCAGACAACTCTGTGAAATATTCATCACCTTATTTGATAACAGAATGTATTCATGTTTATGCTTAGGTGCAAGGAAAACTACAAGATTTTATAATAACTGCATAATACTGAGGTTTGCTGGGGTTTTGGAGGTATAACCTGAAGAGTGAATTTCTAAAGACACAGATATTCATACCCTAAACCTACGACCTTAGGAAATTGTGAAAAATTCAAGAATATACAGCACCATTCAATTAACATTAGTGATGATGTCATCCAACACATACCATGTAGCCTCTATGTACTTGTGAGAATGAGTTGAAAAGGTAAGTTACCTCTTAGTACAGTAAGCCCCCTACATAACGAACAAGTTCAGTTCCAAGAGGGCATTCATAAGTGCAATTTGTTCATAAGTCCAACAAAGTTAGCCTAGGTACCCAATCGGCTATGTAGTACTGTACTAATAATAGGTTTATATAAAAATAAATACAAAAAATAAAATATTTTTAATCTTACAGTACAGTACCTTAAAAAGTACAGTAGTACAGTACAACAGCTGGCATACAAGGGCTGGCATCGAGTGAACAGGCAAGAGTTACTGACTGGAGGAGGGAGAGGAGGTAGAAGATGGTAGAACTCAGAGATGGTCAGCAACAGGAGACAAAAGGCAAGCTGCAGTTTCACTCACACCTGACACTGATGGCACAGGTTCTGGTTCCTTGCTGGATTCAATTCTATCTACCCTCTTGAAAAAACAACCCAATGATGTCTGGGTAGTAGCTCTTTTTTTCTCGTTGTAGATGACACGGTTGCACTGGATTGCATCCCGAACGGCTGCTGCAACCTTCATGTACTGTTCTACATTCGGATCCTGCACCTCAAAAACTAACAGTGCCTCCTCGAATAAAGAAAATCCCCTTGCCATTTCCTGTGTCGTGAATCTCTTCGGTTACTTCCTCCTCTTGTCTCTCTTCGTCCTTTCTCTGGGCCTCCAATTCCATCAGGTCTTCGTTAGTAAGCTCCTCGTGTTGCACAGCAAGGAGTTCAATGAAGTCGTCCTCTTGCAGATCTAGCTCCAGCTTCTCTCTGAGGGTCACTAAGTTGCTAAAAACCTCTTTGGACTCCTTATCCCGGGCAGCTACCATATCTGCACTCGCTGCCTTGCCACTTACTTCTACATTGTGAAGGTTGGCTCTAGCCTTGAACTGATGAAACCAGCCATAGCTGGCATTAAAAGACGCACCCTCTGGTTCTTCACCATGTTTCTTCTTCAAGTCTTCATAAAGCCTTTTAGCTTTTCTTGCATCAGCATTAAGCTGAGGGCGACTCGATGCTGATGCTGATCCTGCATCCACACACTGAGAAGTTTCCCCATCTCCGTCACTTTTCCCGCTTCTTCAACATTATTGTCGCCATCATTGGCACAGCAGACTTCACATGTTCCATGATCTTGTCCTTGTTCTTTAGAATCATGCTGATGGTTGAACGATTCATGTTATAAGAATGAACAACGTCTACCATCTTTTCGCCTCGCTCCACCCTCTCAATTATTTTCACTTTTGTTTCCATCGTTATCACTTGGGGCTTCTTAGCAGTACCAGCTACAGCGCTTCTGGACATGCTGGGCTTGAAATAAAGATACTATACTACTGTATACAGTAAAGTACAAAAAAGCACAACCACTTGTAGAGGCTGCAGGCATGTGACAATGTACGCCAGACACGTGAACTAACTTACACGACTGGACGTGCAAACACATGTTCGCATCTTTGAAAGTTCGCAACTTGAAGGTTAGTATGTAGGGGACTTACTGTGTTATGAAAACAGTTTTGACCTTGAAGACTTCTGTATGCTTACACAACAGGGATATAGCCATAAACAAGCAATGTCATGCCCTCAAGGAGCAACCTAAAAAAATAGGGAAAAAACCCCAATTACTAATTACAACTGCGAGAAATGCTATGACAGCATTCAGGTGGGTACCCAATACAGTGGAGTTAAGGCATCAAGGAAGGCTTCCTTAAGAAGTGATGTGTCGAGACCATTTTCAGTGACCATTTGGTCAGTCTGACTCTTTTAACTTCCTTTCCATTTTGACTGCCATCACTGTATACCAGACCTAATCACTTCCTGTTTGGACTACTGTAAAAGAATCTCCTAAGCGGTCTCTCTGCCTTCAACCCTACAACCCATCCTGCATCTGTAGCCAGATTAAATTTCCTAAAAGACTGTTTCCATCAGAGAAACACAGTACCCTAAATTGGTAAGGAATACTGACTAAGCAAGTCAGATCAGTCTCAATCCCTGGCCCTTAATTAGTTGCTATGTCTATAGGAAAGTTGTTCAACCTCACAGCTTCAGTTTCCTACTCTGTAAGATGAGGTTTCATGTATTAGAACCACACTAAATACAATGGCAGAGTCTGGCATACTATCTGGTACACAACTGGCACTCAATGAATATTATTAGTTCATTTCTTCTAACCTGTGTTTCCATTAGCTTTGCCTATAGTATGCACTAGTAAGTTACCACTACTTATTATACTAAAAAGTCTGGGCTGAGATTTTAACCAAAGGTCAGTAAAAAGAAGAAAGTCTGTAAAGAGTGTTGACTGAATTGACTAAAATCCATATACTAGAGGTGGGGTTCATTAGCTGGTAACATAACCAATTCTATAAATGTGATCTGAAAATGTGTTACTGTTGTCAGCAGGAAGAGCCAATCGTAAACATGTTTTTTAAAAACCCAAAAAACTAGAACACAAAGGGTGACTAAGTACCAGTACAAAGCAAAGGTCCAGGAAAAAAGCTAGAAAGTAGAATTATTAAGTGTAACCATGACTTCCAGAT